TTAATGTCTAATTACCTCATTCCGTGTTGTTTTTTTCTGGTAACCAATTTTTTTTATGCGTCTTGGAATGACAAACGAGGTGTCGGCCGACTCATAATAAAAAAAAAAGGAAATTAATTTTTTGAATTGTTTTTTTTTCGATAATTTTTTCTCCGTCAATTTTCAAAGTTTTAACCGACTTCTAAAATAATGAGATTCCCAATTCAATTGTATATTTTTATGTTACATCTTCATGTCAGCTGTTAGCTGTCCACCGCTGAACATAAGCCTTTCCTTAGGTAGTTTAGCCAGTAGTTGCCATCTTTAGCAGGCGGATTGGCAACCGCAGTTTGGCTTTTGATGATGTTTTAACAGGGACGCTGCTGCCCATCCCTCGCCTTCCCTCAGTCGCCTCTTACGACACCCACGGGAAAGGAAAGGGTGGCCCACACAGCCGTATAGATATGTATAATTAACGTAGCATAACAAAGCCAGAGTAATTGATCAGAGCGCAGCCGGATGTCCGCACATTGACGGGAGCAATTAGTACGTACATACATTTACCAGAGGGAGACTTTGTACATTACATACATACATACAAAGTCGATTGCTCGGGTACCTCTGTCCCATTCGTGTTTCAACCGTGAAGCAGTTGTGTTCACATGGCTGTGTTTCAATTGGAAGGGTGGGATATGGCGTGAATTTACAGGGTACAGAGGAATAACACCTGAGTCCTCAGGAACGGCAACGCATGGGGGGTATCATGGGCGAAACAGTACACTGTTATGTCCATGGTACTGCTCATGTGTATAGGCGACGGTTACCACTTTCCATCAGGTGGGCCGTCAGCTTGTTTGCCATTCTAAGTTGTATAAAAAAATTATGGTTTCCAGGGGGGAGAGAGCACGTGGAGGTCGATCTGATAAGGGATATTGCTAGCAATGGTACTCGTAGTCCGCATTACTAACAATCCCTTCCCCCCCCCCCCCGGCTTGTGTTGGGGAACATAATTCTAATCATGATAAGTAATATTTCATATGAACTTGTTAAAAAATTTCTTTCTTTAAACTCTTCTTTGTATAACGGTGGAAATTTCCATCATAACATTGAACGCCCAATAATTATATAAAAGACCAAGTTCACTTTAAGTTGATCGTGTCTGGATGCCTTTTTAATATTTATTTGCAGAAAAAAAAAAACATAGCTGTCAAATTTACTTTTTTAACCATTTTTCCTTTAATTTTGAACATGAGTTATATCACCTTGATTTATTTCACCAATAAAAAAAAACATACAGAGAAAGGTTAATTCGTTTCTTTGTTTAAAAATTTCCACAATATTGTACACTGCTCTACCTGCTGACACTGGCTCCTTTCCACTTTGGGTGTTGTTGGAAGAGAACTCTATTAGAGTGAAGCTCGCCTTTGTACATTTGATTACCTCTGTCATATTCTTATAACTGGTGTGTACAATAAAGAATTAAATTAAATAAATGAACTGCGCGAAACTAAACCGAGTTAATTATAACCTAATGACACATTACAATTGTTTATTAACCGCAAACATAAATTATTTTCTTAACACTTAACCTACCGACATTTCATATATACCTAATCCTACTATGAGGGACCCATTGCTAGCAATGTGCCTTATTAGATCGACCTCCACGTGGTTCCCTCTGGAAACCATCATGAACAATTCTTGTTGAATTCGTCACGATGGGCTAACTGACCTGCTTCATCCTCACCTATCATCTCTCACTGGTGCCCTGCTAGTGTATACTGATAGCGCGGGCGGGGTTTCCATTCCATTATCACCCATTAAAAATATGTATCTTAATATGGAAAAAGGTTTTAGCCAATTGGATAGAGAACAAGTAAATAATAGTAAATTGTAAATATCGACAAATGCCTTGTATGTATATTGTAGGAAAAGTCGATAAGTTACATGGCGATACAGTAACGTTGTACATGAAAATTCTTAAATTTCAAAAACGGTCATTTGACCGCGCTTGGTAGGTTTAGTATTAACAGAACGAGCATGTCCTCGATACAAACGGTACAGGACGGATAGAGGATGACGACTTCGATGTACTTGTAAACATGACTCTTGGAGTGACATAGATTTACCTGATTAATACATTATGTACTTGCATGTTATAATTTAAGTTTGTATTTGTAAACTTCTGTTATGTGCGCCTAATAAATAAAATAAAATTTGTACCATTGAGGTGGCAATCAAGCATACGGCCCACCTGGTGGTAAACGGTTACCGTAGCCTGTAAACGCCTGCAATACCAGGGGTATAACGCGCACGTTTCCGACCCTGTAAAAACATTTAGTCCTGTAAAACATAAGCAGTTAGATATGCTCCGCTTAACATTTAGTGTTTGTTTTATTTCAATCGGTTCATAAATTAAAAAGTTGTGTCAATCTAAAGAATCACATATGAAATGCTGTATGCAATTTTTTGATTCATAGTCAGTTTGAATACCAAATGTATGGATAGAAAGGCCATCTCTCTTTTCATTTAAGAGTTTCCTCTTGTCGGTGCAACCAATTCATGCATCTTCCTCCAGCCAAGTCTATCCCAGGCCATATCCTTTATCTCCCTATACGACATGACACCTAGTGTTTCCTCTATCTGTCCCATGTAGTTATTCCTCGGTCTTCCTCTTCCTCTTTTGCCCTCTATCTTTCCTTCTATTATGCTCTTAAAAAAATCGTCATGTCGTATAAGGTGGCCCAGCATTTCGCCTCATTTTGCATTTTTTTTTATATACAACTTAGAATGGCAAACAAACTGACGGCCCACCTGATTACCCCCCACGGGTTGCCATTCCTGAGGACTCAGGTGTTATTCCTCTGTACCCTATAAATTCACGCCATATCCCACCCTTCAAACCGCAGCACAGCCTTGCAAACACAACTGCTTCACGGTTGAAACACGAATGGGACAGAGGTGGCCTAGCAAACGACTTTTGTACAAAGTCTCTCTCTGGTAAATATCATGTCGACCTCCTCGTGGTTCCCCTGGACACCATAGATGCGTCACGGTGGGCTAACTGAGCTGCTTCATCTCTTCTTCTCATCTCTCACTGGTACCCCGCAAGTGTATTCCGATAGCGCGAGCGGGGTTACCATTATATTATGTAATATTCATTTATACAATAACAGTCATACTATTGTGTTTGAAATAAGTTACAATATTCTAAGAAAAAAATACTAAAGAAAGAAACAATAAGGTCGATAAATAACATGATAACTTGTTATAGATAGGAGTAGATAATGAAATCTTTTAATATATATATATATATATATATATATATATATATATATATATATATATATATATATATATATATAATATTATATATTTTAATTATCAATACATCTTAACAATTCGATCAGTCGCTATGTAATTTGGTATACACGTACTAGAAACAAGAGAAGGTCGCACGCTACTTTCTACCCCGTCAGTGAGCATATCACGTCGCGCAGACGCGTCGCAAGTCGCGGCTAAGATTGTTTGTTTATTTATTTTACACTTTATTGCACCATTTAGTAAAGTAGTAAATACAGTAAATATTAATGAGAAGTGATACAAAAGGCGGCCTTATCGCTGAGCAATCTCTTCCAGACAACCTTTGGGTAGAGGACATTGAGAAAAGAGAAAAAAGACAAAGGGTTGGTAGCGCACTATTATATATAAACAAATATATACAAACATATATACATATATACAACAGGAGAGAGTGAAAGTGGAAGATGAAGAGAGAACACGGGAAAATAGTATTAAAGGGAGAGATTATAGGATTTAACAGAGGTTTTGAAGCTAGCGAGTGATTGAGCGCACCGAATAGAGACAGGTAGTGAGTTCCACAGGCGAACTGTTTAAACAGTAAAGGAATTAGAATAAAAGGTAGTGCAGTGAGCGGGAAATTTGAGACGTAGGTTATTGACACTGTGTGAAGTATGTCCATTAGCCTCACTGAGGTACACGAATCGGTCTTTTAGATAATCAGAAACAATGGATTAGCACATTATAACTCAGTGAGAATACAAAGTAAAAATAAAAAAAATCTTACATAATGAAGTTGTAAAAGCTAACCACACAGCAAAACAAACAGCCGCAAACCGCAAAAGCGCGCGAGTTAAAACAAAATGGCCGACTGGACGATGACACGTGAGAATTATTCGCTGCTTTTAACTAGTGATGGGTAATGTACGATATCTTTATATTGAGTTCTGTACATTGACGACTACCCATTGCGATATCGCCCATATTTTTTTTTTTATACAACTTAGAATGGCAAACAAGCTGACGGCCCACCTGATGGAAAGTGGTAACCGTCGCCTATAATCATGAGCAGTACCATGAACATAACAGAGTACACTGTTTCGCCCATGATACCCCCCATGCGTTGCCATTCCTGAGAACTCAGCTGTTATCCCTCTGTACCCAGTAAATTCACGCCATATCCCACCCTTCAAACCAAAACACAGCCATGCAAACACAACTGCTTCACGGTTGAAACACGAGTGGGACAGAGGTACCCAAGCAATCGACTTTTGTACAAAGTCTCCCTCTGGTAGATAGTCGGATATCCATATTCATTACGAGCGGGTACTTCATTTCAACATTATATATTGGATAATCGATAGTTAATATATCTATTATTGGGCCGATATATGTATAGATATTGTAACTACAATATAGTGTGCCCACGATACAGTTCGCCTAGTGTGGGGCCCATTGTATCTTGTGTTTGTAACTTGGTGTTTTTGTTGAATAATAAATTTCTATTCTATTCTATGTTTATTTTCATCGTCACCTATCATCACTTACTGGTGCCCCGCCAACGTATACCGATAACGCAGGCGGGGTCACTATTCTATTATCAACCATTAAAAAAATCATGATTATTGGTTAAACCGTTAAGGCGTAGAGGGACAACAAACAAATTCACTTTCACATTTATGATTATCACAGTGATTTCCCCTGTGACAAAACTTTAACAGTGATTCTCGCCAGCTGTGATCTAAAGTCGCACTCGCTACTATTTGCTATTGAATGTGAAATATCTAACATGATTTTTTATGATCACTGTACCAAAGTCTGTATTCGCTCACACATTTACAAGCTAGTCGATCCTCTGCTGTGATTTCACATCACTATTGACTTTGCGTGCTATTGCGTGTGGCCGATGATTCACGAATAAATCCGAACGCAGCGTGTATATGCGATTTCAGTTAGTGCTATTTTGTGACAAACCCTGTGAAGAGACATAACGTTATGAATTTGTGTATCATTAGATATTTCACATAGTACCTGTGAAATATTACAAATCTATAAAAGATGCTACAGCGATTCCGTAAAAAGAAATATGCGCGCGCACGACAGCGGCAAGTGCGTACGAGTCTGCGGTATGCGCACGAGCAGGAGGAAGCGGAAGTGGCGTACGACGCCGCGCATTATTTTCTGGATGATGTCGCGGACCCGTGGAAGGGTGAAGGTTGGTGTTTAGAGTTCTCTAATAAATCTTCAAGTATGAATATAGTTTTTAATGGCGTCTTTTTTGCCCTAAAGAATAAATTGCAATTCAGTAGAATAAAATAGAATTCTATAAAATATATATGTATTAGATTTTTTTTGTGGCCCTATGATGCGTTTAAATTGTCCATTCCGAAATCTACTTACATATGTTTTAAGACTATTTCCTTCAAAATCTATGTGTAAACACGCGTATTTGTAATCAGAATTCAAATATTTACAATGTAAGGTCTACAAAACTGGATCCGGTGAGAGCAACGAAACCCATTATAGCACGGGTGCTAGCTTTTCATTTTACTATATATCAAAGACGGAAGAGAAAACCATATTGCGTATTAAATTCGGTACGGTGCCATCTATTGACAGATAATCGAACTAAAATCACTGTCAATATGCTACGCATATCACTCACATACGAAATATCTCGTCGTTTCTGAGGGTCTACCATGGAATGTATTCCAAAATTTCGGAGCAGAATGAAACACAAATATTATGTTACAATTATGCTACATTTACTGTGTCGATTTCTGTATAAACAAAAACACGAAATTGAGTCTGAAAATTCAAAATTTCGTTTCTTGGTATGTCCTATTGTGTGCGAGTTTACAATTGAAGACGCTTTATAGCGGAATTAATTTTATATTTAACTGTGGGTAGATGTGCAAACAGGAACATTCTTAAATACACACAAGAATAGATAAAATATACTTGGCTTTTGCAAGATGTACCTTTATTCAAAATGCATGATTACCTTTATTCAAAATGTACTACTATTCGCGTTGTAGAACTGTATGTTTGTTCCCAGACGCGCAGGAGCGCGAGCGTCTCTCCCACCATTCGCAGCTGCGCGAGCTCGTGTCCCGCGGGGAGACGCACCAGCTCAAAACCAAGCTGGCCTCCCTCGGCAGCTCCGCGGGCCTCATCGTCAACATGACCCCCGGCGGCGCCAACACGCTGCTCTACACGTGAGTCTGACAAGAACCTCCTGCTGTTGCTTTTTGAGAAATATCGGCAGGAGACAGTTTTTTTATCGAACTCAGAATAGTACTAGTTGATGGCTCACCTTGTGGAAAATTGTACCTAACAAGCTAAGTAGACATTATTATATTTAGTACCATAGGCACTCCTCATACGTTGCCACTCCAGAAGATGAATCTACAGGAGAAAGTTCTTCTAAAGCGAATCGGGTCTAAAATCAAATTAGGATACTGCTGGGCGACAATGTTCTTGATCTTGTATTCTTTTTGGCGACTATCAGTGCGTCAGAGGCGGGCGTGACGTCAACAGCGGCAGCGCTGCTGGAGGCCGGCGCGGACGGCCGCGCTCACCCCGTCACCAAGTACTGCCCGCTCTACATCGCCAGCTACCACGGCCACCTCGACGTCGCCAAGCTGCTGCTTGCGCACTTCCCGGAAGCTGTCCAGGTGTGTACCAGGTGGTTAGTGGGGACTGATGTCGCTACTAGAGACTGTCATTAAATACAGCCAGCTATTCATTACCAGCTGTCTAGGATACTTCAAGGTGGCCAGGCTACCGGAAGCTATCTAGAGATGTACCAGGGATGTAGTGGAAAATTTAGATGCTGGAGTTTGTGACAAATTATTGCTCACTGTACGTAGCCACTAACCATGGTCACCTCTATGACTTCATCGTGATCAAGCATCTCGCATAGTTGCCGGAAACTGTCCAGGGCCTCTAGACAAGTTGGCAAGTAAATTCATCGATGGAATCGACATCGCTAGCGAGTCCGTGAGATAGAATGAGATAGGAACACCGGGTAACTCATTCCAACTCACGGATTCGCTTGCGATGTCGATTCCATTGACGAATTTGCTTGTCATTTGTCTAGAGGCCCTGGTGTGTACCAGACAGTTAATGCAGAATGGCAGAGATTGGTACTGTAGGGAACTATCATCGAGTACCGATCATTGCAAATCGTCAATGGGAGATACGACGATGACTGTGCACTGTGACTGGAGATCTTCTCATTAGCGATGCACGAGCGACGCTTCTGATGTTCACTCTTGCATCGTTCATAAACTGCGGGCCCAGATCACTATTGCTTCATCATCACAGATTGTTTACATGTACATATAGCATATATACGAACGTAATACCAGTATAATTGTATTTGTTTTCTGATAAACTGAGAAAACATTCCACCTATCCTATATTTCGTTTGTGTCGCAGCAAGAGACAGTGGAGAAGTGGCTGCCGCTGCACGCGGCGTGCATTGGGGGCCACGCGGCGATGGTGACGCTGCTGCTCGAGTACCCGTACCCGGACACTGTGCTCAGCACCTACACGTAACTATCATTTCTTATTTTTATTGCGAGGAAGGTAAACGAGTTGATGGGGAGTGGCTACTGTCACCCAAGAACATTTAAAACACGAGGGTAGTCGCCAGTGTGTTACTGGTTTCTTAAAATTAGATTTTTGAAAAGACTTGTAGTACGGGTGGGGGAGATCCTCAGAGAGGTCAGACATGTCCTCAAAATCAACAGACAGAGTTATAGTATAAACGTATTTAAATAGAAATCTTTGCAGACGTTTGGAACTGATCCACTTTGGATCCGCTTAACTGGGTGTTGTTATTAATAAATGTATTGTGTGTCCGTGGACAGCGACCCGTCCGGCCAGTGGCAGTACACGTTCGCGTTCGACGTGAACGCGCGAGACGTGAGCGGCCAGAGCGCGCTGTACGTGGCGTGCTCGCTCGGCAACCTCGCCGTCGTGGACGCGCTGCTGGCGCACAGCGTGGCCGCGCGGCCGCAGGTACAGTACACTACAGTACAGTACAGTACGGTACAGTACAGTACAGTGAGCGGCCAGAGCGCGCTGTACGTGGCGTGCTCGCTCGGCAACCTCGCCGTCGTGGACGCGCTGCTGGCGCACAGCGTGGCCGCGCGGCCGCAGGTACAGTACACTACAGTACAGTACAGTACGGTACAGTACAGTGAGCGGCCAGAGCGCGCTGTACGTGGCGTGCTCGCTCGGCAACCTCGCCGTCGTGGACGCGCTGCTGGCGCACAGCGTGGCCGCGCGGCCGCAGGTACAGTACACTACAGTACAGTACAGTACGGTACAGTACAGTGAGCGGCCAGAGCGCGCTGTACGTGGCGTGCTCGCTCGGCAACCTCGCCGTCGTGGACGCGCTGCTGGCGCACAGCGTGGCCGCGCGGCCGCAGGTACAGTACACTACAGTACAGTACAGTACGGTACAGTACAGTGAGCGGCCAGAGCGCGCTGTACGTGGCGTGCTCGCTCGGCAACCTCGCCGTCGTGGACGCGCTGCTGGCGCACAGCGTGGCCGCGCGGCCGCAGGTACAGTACAGTACACTACAGTACGGTGAGCGGCCAGAGCGCACAAATAAATTAACTCTGTTTAAACACCTAATTTCTTAGCTAGTAGAACCCCTTACTTAAGAAATATGTCCTTGTAAAAACTCATAAATTAGGAAGTAACGTCGCTTTATTTCTTCCTAAGTTCTTTTAATGTTTTATTGACCTTTTAATTCCTTACTATAAGATATCTAACTTAGCAAATAGGACCACGAACACTACGACTTCAAATGGCCCTAATTTAATAGGAAATTACATACGTCTTACAAAATGTATCCTTTCCAAGGCCCGTGATGTGTGGTTTTGCCCGCAGTCGCCGCAGTGCGCGGAGCCGGGCGCGGCCACTAGTCCGCAGCCGGTGACGAGCCCGCACCGCGCCGGCATCTCGCTCGGCATACACGCCATCGTCAGCAAACTCACCGGCGGTAACAAGGTCAGTAGGGTAGACAGATAGATTTTCTATCTCGTTTCCTCATCACTGAGGGTCGTGACCGCATAAGTCTTGTCATCATTATAATCCAAGAAGTGGTATCTTCAGATTATCGTGTTGGTGCTCTTCCTCAACCCATTTTTCTAACTGCGGATACTAATCTGCCTGCCAAGCGTGGCGATCACTGGTAAAATCTCCCAAAGGGAGGCTTTCAATATTGAAATGAATTCTTTTTTAAATCAGTGCGGTTTCAAAGGAATTTTCACCCGCGAACGTTCAGGCTGCGCAATGAGCTCCCTGTCGAGGTTTTCCCTACAGACTACAGTATGGGGTTCATCAAAAAGAGTTTTATTAAGGTTTCTTCAGGGTCGGCAACGCGCACGTGATACCCTTGGTGTTGCAGGTTTCCATAGGCTACAATGACCGTTTACCATCAGACATCAGATTCGTGGTATAAAAAAGATTATATTTCTTTTACTCCGCCTGCGCTATCGGTATACGCTAGCGGGGTACCAGGAGAGCATGATAGGTGAGGATGAAATCAGGTCAGTTGGCATGTCTTAACAAACTTATTAGGAATCTATTCCAATGATTTTTAAGACCGCGCAGAGATCAGACAGGACAAGGTATATTGCTATTAATAGGGCCGCTATAATCCATCACTAAAAATCTCTTCCCCATCCCTATCGGGCAGGAGGGATCGTTGGTAATAAGGACTAGGGGTGCCAATGCGCGGCAATATACCCTGTCAGGTCGATCTCCACGCGGTTTCGTCTGGAAACCAGGGTTGATTCTTGTTGAATTCGTCTCGATGTGCCACTTGACCTACTTTCATCCTCACCTATCACCTCTTCCTGGCACCCCGTTTTTAACCACTGAAAGTTCTTTCCGCCCGTGCAGGAAACGGGTACAGCGGAGCGGCGCGTGCGACCAGTACAGCTGGACGGGGGTCGGCCCGGCGACAGCTGCGTGGGCTGCGTGGCCCGCAGCGGCCGCGTGCGCCTTCTACGCCGCCTGCTGGCCGCCGGGGCTTGTCCGGACGCACCGTCGTTACCTCCACCAGACCAGGTCAGCCTTCTATTATGTACTATATAATCCTCCCTCTGGTATCCAACAATATAGTATATAGTGTCAGATTTATAGATTTAAAATACATTCATAACAAATCTATGTAACCAGTTCATTGAATGTATTGTATTGATACTTCTAGGTTGCATAGATTCATTTTCCAGTTTCGTAAATGTGAAGGTAGTGTCGACTCTTAAATAAGATTAATGACAGCTCTTCGGTACAGTTATTGTAAACTGAATTTTTATATTTAATTATTGTCATCTTTATAAGTTATCGTAGTAAATATTACTGGACACATATAAATATGTATAGTATTTCTTTGTTATAAAATAAACTGTTTTCGTACGTAGTTTTTTTAATAATATATATATATATATATATATATATATATATATATATATATATATATATATATATAATTTAAAATATAAGATAATAATGTAATGATGATAATTATAACTTAAAATTATAAAGATGATCCGGCTCGAAGGATCAAAGACATCGTATGACACTTCATAGTTAATTTAATACTCATTAATATTATAAATGAGTAAGTGATATTGTTTGTTGCCTTCAAGCCTTAACGACTAAATCAATCACGATAAACTTGCTATACACATACGTGATGGAGAAGCCTTTTTATCTCGGTTGATAAACATGCCCCGGTCAGGACGAAGTCGTGTGTTGGAAACGTTTAATATTCCATGTAACAACTACTGAAGGGATTTAAATGAAATATTGTACGTGGATAGGTTATATGTTGTATTATTTGAGAACAATTTCTGTGATGGGTCTGTATGGGGTAAAATATTTTATTTTTGTCTACTGGTCCATTACCGCGGCAGAGCGTGTCCCCGCGCGAGAGCCGGCGCCGGTCGCGCAGCGCGTGCGCAGCGCCGGCGCGCGCCCTGGCGGCGGCGCCCGCCTCCGCCTCGGCCTCGCCCTCGCCCTCGCCCGCCCGCGGCCTCACGCCCGACCGTGAGTGCACACCGCTAGCGTAACACTTTATATTATTAGCGTTTGATCCTTCGAGCCGGACACCCTCCTCAACTTGAATGCTGGCACATACAGGCGAAGGTCCGTGGACGGCGCTGGCGGTGGCGGCGCGCGCGAAGGACGTGCAGGTGGTGGAGACGCTGGTGGCGGCGGGCGCCGGCGACCCGCTCGGCCGCGCCACGCGCGAGTGCGCCCGCCACGGGCTCGTCGACCTGCTCGACAAGCTGCTCGCCACTAAGGTTAGATAGATACGGTCTTTATCACTACTAATAATATTTAAGAAAACAACAATAAAAAAGAAAATAATTCATTTTGCTGGTTGCCGGAGCTGCCTCAGCTGTTGCTATATGTGCATACCTCCAGCGAGGTGTACCTATATAGCGCTGATTTTCAGGCGGCCCCTTAACTCATTTACTTTAGCATTTGTGCGGGTCGCCAATACCAATTTTTTGGATGGGAGACTCAATATACTTAATAAATAAATAAAAAATTATAACCAATTTCATTCCAGGTTCTCGTCACATGGTCTATCTCTTTTTAGATCATCCTATACCAGACGGTATAGGAAGATAACCAACCAATATAGGAAGACGACCAAACTACGACACCTATATTTGATACTAATACAAAAATAATATCTTTAAAATCACGTGTGCATAGCAAGACAGAATTGCTAACTGTTTGCGCCTTTCCCTTTTGTGTGTATAAATTTATGGGTGCAGGAACTCTTCAATAACTCGTTTATTGTTACTTTTGTGAAATATGAGTTTATTATACGAAATATTATTAGGATCAATCATTGCTAATTACAGAGAGCGAGCGAGTCAAGTTCATGTCTATCACCGCAGTAGCAGACCGTTGAAGTCTCACTTCACTCCGTTGACGTTTTATCTATTTTACTCAATAGATGGCACCAACACTAACTTTTCTGTTTCTAATTTTAACAAATTATGAAAAATTAAATTTCTGACTTTTTAAAAGCTTTTCAATAAGTCTACATCAAATTCTTTACAACAGAAAGCGAATTTACGGTATTAATGATGTCATGATTTCTTTAGTCAAGTACAAAATACAATTTCTCTTGACAAACATAAAGTTGTACTTCAGGGCACTACTCTCGGACCACTTTTTGTTAAAGTTACTATTATTTTTATGATTGTCACTGCTGACTTGTAGGCATACCCGGACCCGGACTACAAGTTGAACAAGTCAGCGATGTCGGAGACGGTGTTCAGCAGCCGCGAGTCAGACTCGACGCTGACGTACAGCGCGCTGTGCCCCACCACGCCCGTCATGGTCAACTGGAGGGAGCTGAAGTGCCAGCTCGCGAGTATACGGTGAGAATGCATCGCTTTGGATGATTTTTAAATCAAAAGAGTACTTCTGTGTTTAATTTCTTGTTTAAGAAATGTATTTTTATATACAAGTTTTAGTTTGAAATCAGATACTAGATGGCGTTGTTATACAAATATGATATACAAGTCGCTATTAAGATTTTCCGGTGTTTCGATGTCCTGCTTCTAAAAGACATTTTTTTTAAAGTTCCCTATCATTCCTACTGAAGTAGTTGTTTTATTCAATACCTTCGGTAGCAGATTTTTGAACCACGATACCTAGTTGATCACTTGTATTAGGTTTGTCACTTTTGAGGTCTGTTTTTCGAATCAATATTAATATCGATCAATATCGAATCAATACGTGGTAGATGTACTATAATGAAGTGTGACGTGTGGTGGCAGCATGTCGTGGCTGCGCACGGCGGCGCTGCGCGTGAACAGCAAGCTGCACTGCGGCCGCGCCGCCCTGCGCGCCCTCACGCGGCTCGAGCTGGCCAACAACGAGCTGCGCCTGCTGCCGCCCGAGCTCTTCACCCTCGCCAGCCTCAGGTACGCGCGGCTGCTGGCTAGCGAGATAGCTGCTGGAAACTTTCGGTTTGAAGAGTGGTTTTTGGATCTATAATGGTGCTTCTACAGTGTTGAAATCTCCAAGTCAATTATCCTTCTTCAGGTACCTGAACGCGGCTCAGAACAAGCTGGAACGTCTTCCGACCAGTGCGGATCCGTTTGAAGAGGACGGCAGCAAGCGGCGAGGCAAGAAGAAGCACCCGGAGGTGTACACCGCGCCTGTCTTGCAGGAGCTGTACTTGCAGGTATAGTTGTATGTAACTTGAAATGATAAGCGAGCTAATGGTCCACCTCAAGGTAACCGACGTCTATAGACATGAACAGCATCATACATCGCTGAATATACTGGTATGAAAAAGTACCTCGTGCACTGTCATCCCTAAGAACTTGTTATGTTTCAAAGCAGCCAGATGTAGACTTTGATTTCTGTGAATCTAGACTTTTATCCCAGTTTTGCCTTTTTGCTCCTGAGCATTTCGCTACTTAATGGTAGTGGCGTTACTGTATACTGCAAGTAGGGTCCTTACATGACAAGACATTTAGACTCTGCTACCACGAGCAGTTGTGGTTTCTTTTTCTTAATAGATGATTACTATAAATGATACCATTTCGTCAATATTAACCTCGCCTGCAGTATCGGTGTACACAGACAAGACATTAGTGAGGGGGTAACAAGTGAGGATGAAATCACTCGTGGCGAATTCACCATGAATTAATCCTGACAGGTTCGAAACGGAATACACAAGAGGAACGACCTGGGAGCTTACTCCCAAGTTTTTGGCCAGACTTCAGTGACGTGATTGCATTGTCTATGATTTTAGTGGCGACTTTCAAAAGTCAGGTTTTAAGCGCTCATAAGCCACCTGATGAACTAACAATAGAGCCACTAGATCTTGGTGGGCGCTGACCCTCAGGCGGGCTGTACCTGCATAGTTGTGTAAAGCGCTCGGTGCTGGTGGGTAGGACAACCGGCTGGAGGAGGTGCCGGGCGAGCTGTTCTCGCTGCCGGCGCTGAGCACGCTGGACGTGTCCAACAACAAGCTGCGCGCGCTGCCGCCGCAGCTGTGGACGGCGCCCGCGCTCACCGACCTCAACGCTGCGCTCAACCTGCTGCGCGACCTGCCGCACGGCGACCAGGTCTATACCTCTTTACATTCTCTTCACACCGTCTTCTGATAGAAACTTCTCGTCGTTTATTGATGTGTTTTGCCACAAAGTCATTGTTTTTTATGTACTTGCAATAATATTTACTTCATTTTTTAAAGTTCTGGTCTCCTTGCAGCCGCCGGCGGAATGCTGGAGCCCGCCGCAGCTGGCCTCACCGTCCCCGTCCTCGCAGACGAGCACCTCCTCCGCATCAGCGTTCAACTTCACACAATCCGTTAGTATATTTACCTGGATGAGGAGCGAGAAGGTAAACCGGCTTGTGCTTGATTGGTGCATGCTGTTATGGTGTAGTAGTGTTACTGGGGTGTACTCAATACGGATATAGCGTTTTCATTTTGCAAGCAACTTGCAAAGGACTTGCAAAATTTTGCAAGTTTTCAATCACATGTATTTTGGCGCTAATGTTACTTGTAATATAATTTTTGCTAAATATGTGAATGGCCACGCGTAATTTGCAAGTACGCAAGTTGTGGATGTATTGTAGAACAAGTTTCAATATTAGCAATCATTGTACAGCAGTTGTATCGGCACACTCGTCTGTACATACACTTGCACGTATTTTGCAAGTATACAAGTAGTGACATAAAAATATTAATTTTCGCAATCTTTTCTGATATAAAATATTTCGAAGCCGATCGTATTGATGTTCATAGTAAATCTAATGAATCTTGCAATTTACAAGTGATTCGCAATCTATGTTTGACACAATCGCTATATAGAGGGCACTTAGTTCGTATATTCGCCACCGCCGAAGCCAAATACAGCTACTAAAATGCAACCTTCAATTTTTACTTAAAGGATGGGGCGGCATCACCAACCATAGCCTGTTCTTAAATGACAGTAGCGACATCTAGTTACTACTATAGAAATTAACATGATACAACTGATTAATGGATTCGTGTAGTTACTAGAAATTTGAACAATCTACAAGAACTTGTAAATTGCTATTTAACTTACAAGCAAGGCAAACGAGCATGCGGCTCACCTGACGGTAAGTGACTACCGCTGCCCATGATCACCCGTAACACCAACGGCATTGCAGGTGTGCTGCCGGCCTTTTAAAAAGGAATATGCTCTTTTCTTGAAGGTTATGTTGTCGTATCGGTTCGTAAATACCGCTGCTGGAAGTTGATTCCGAAGAGTGTTAATAATTAAATTTGAGTTAATTTTATACTAGTATAAAACCTATTGTATTGTATTGTAAAATCTTTATTGTACAGAATTTATATGGAACACATAATGGCTTGCATTCGACTTGTAACCTACATCTATGTTGCTTACACAATGACTACGTATTACTATGACGTGTCTGTTTTCGTGTCTGTATATCGTAATCCTAAGTAAAAGTGCGTCACTACACTGTAATAGTTGGTTTTCGTGTCAAATTCTATATGTAGTCTGAATTACATTATGATTGATTAAGGCCAAAGGGAAGGCGATACAGAGACTATAATATGGGGTACTTTAAAAAAAGCTGTATATGATTTCTATCGAATTTGTAGCGCTAACGTGATACCCTTAGTGCTGCAGGCGTCCATAACCCCGCCTGTGCTATCGGTATACGCTGACGGGGCACCAGTGGTGATAGGTAAGGATGAAGCAGGTCAGTTAGCGCAGTGACAAATTTATAAATATATAACCTACATGATTTCGAAGGGGAACCGCGTGGATGTCGACTTGATAGAGCATATTGCTGGCAATGAGGCCATTAGATTCCCATCACTAACTATCACTTCCCCCCACAGGAACCATTTAGCATTATACGGGTCGTTTGCCATACTTGTTTGCCACCAAAGAGTAAAAAACAAATACATAATAAACAAACTTTTTTACCAATTTGCCCTTTTATTTATAAAATTTATATTTTTTATTTTATTTTATTTTATTGGCACATAAAACAGATCATAGAATAGCTCACCCCGTTCCTTTCCCGTAGGTGTCGTAAGAGGTGACTAAGGTAGGGCGAGGGATGGGCAGCAGCGTCCCATTTAAAGCATCACCAAAAGCCAAACTGCGGTTACTAACCCGCTTGCTTACTAAGCGTGGCAACTACTGACAAACCCCCCTTATGGGGGAAACTGTTCAGCAGTGGATAGTTGGTACAACAATGCGTACAGAACAATATGGAATTTGAAAATTAATTAACGCGTCTTCTGTGCACGCAGAAGTCGTCTACGCGGAGTCCATCGATCGAGAGTAACGAGTCCGAGTCGCCCCCGCAAGAGGAGGAGGACGGTGTGATTGTAATTGGAAACCGTGCGGGGAACGCCGTGTGAGTATACTATACTAGTTCAGCTGATTTGTGACCGCAACCGTTAGAATGTAAGGCAGTGTGTTAAACTGCTATATTATCAAGGTTAAGAAGGTAAATTTGATTTTGTAACTAGTTTCATATAATATTTTGAGGATTTTACTCTAGCTTCCACAATTCTCCCAAATGCTGTATTGCATCGAAGCATTAAATGATTATAAAAATGATTAGAAAAGAATAAGTTTTAAGCTTCTTGCGACTTCTGAGCTCTTTCCAACTCTGCCGTGTAATCATACAAATTACAATTTCTGTGAGTTTTTGGCGTAGTTGTTTAAAAATTATTTTATTTATCTAACTATATACCAATTAGATATATCGTTCCACATTAAATGTAAATCTTTCGATTACTACAGATTTACAGTTCTTTTAAGTGTTGTTTTTCAGATTCGACATTAGCTTCTCATAATCTCTTCTCATAATTTAATGTGGTAGAGCCACGCTGTAATCCTATATGGTATTGCAGCATGAATGGGCCGGCTCGACCGGGGAAGTACCACACCCTCACAGAATACCGACGGTAAGTGGTTGCACTTTTAGTGCGATCACATTCCGTATGGTGAGTGAGGGAGTCCAGAGGCCCATCCCCTACCCATCCCATACCCATCTCTTTCCTATTCCTAAAATCCTTTCCCCAACCCCGTCCCCCTATCTTACAACACGCAACCATGGCAGTGGAATTAAAAAAAAAACATACCCCAGGGAGGTACCAGTAACCATGTTGCTGGAGAATCCTCTCTCGAGCAACCACGCTCGGGCTGCCCTGCGTATTCTGGGGGGGGGGGGGGGGGGGGGGGGGCAAAATTCCGCTCTTTGGAACCAAGGGCAAACGGAGCAAGATTTCTACGGCATCACCTTCGCTCAATGTGAGCTTCTGCAATATCGGGGGATTACATTCTAACCTAAACGCTGTCCACCACCACCTAGAAACGGCGCGGCCGGCATTGCTCTTTCTAACGGAGACACAGATATCCTCTCCAAACGAAACTTACCTGACGTACCCGGGCTATATACTTGAACATTGTTTTGTTTCGCGTGCCGGTGTATGCGCGTATGTCAGAGAGGATATCTGCTGTCGCCGCCTTGGAACTCTTGAAGGTACGGACCTGTCTATTTTGTGGCTACGCGTAGACTGCAATGACCATCCTCGCGTCTATGCATGCCTATACAGGTCCCACAGCGGTAACATCGAAACCGACCAACTCATTGAGCATGTCCAAATGACTACAGATTCCCTGCTCGAACAGATTCCTTCCGCTGAAGTCGTGATTCTTGGCGACTTTAATGCCCAACATACCGAATGGCTTGGTTCACGTACAACCGACTATGCGGGAAGATCTGTTCATGACTTTGCTTTGGCTTATGGTCTGACGCAGCTTGTTTCCTCGCCTACGCGAATACCTGATGTGTTGGACCATTCACCTTCACTGTTGGACCTTCTGCTGACCACCCACCCAGACAACTATGTGATTTCCGTCGAAGCTCCGCTTGGATCGTCGGATCACTGTCTGGTGCGGAGCGAGGTGCCTCTCATGAGTCCGATTCCACCACGTTCCACGGGTAGACGTCGTGTTTGGCACTACAGGTCGGCAGACTGGGATGAGATGCGGATTTTTTTCGCATCTTACCCATGGAGGCAGGTTTGCTTCGCAGTGGGGGACCCCGACGCCATCGCCAATTCCATCGCCGATGTGGTGCTTCAGGGAATGGAATTATTTATTCCTAACTCTGTAGTACCTGTCGGTGGGAAATCCCAACCCTGGTATGGAACCTCTTGTAGAATAGCATCTCGCCTGAAACAGGAGTGCTTCCTAGCCTGGGCCAAAGGTGTGGCGTCGCGAGATCCTAACATCAGTGGCCTTAAAAAGAAGTATAACTTTGCCTCTAGATCCTTCAAAAGAGTTTTGGCCACAGCAAAGTCAGAGCATATTGGTAGAATTGGCAAGAGATTGGCTAGTTTACCTTCGGGGTCTCGAGCTTTCTGGTCTCTTGCCAAAGCTGCACAAGGGAATTTCTGTCAGTCATCTTTTCCATCATTGCGCAGGGAGGATAACTCGTTGGCTCTGAACGCCAAAGAGAAGGCCGATCTTCTTGGATCTCTCTTTGCATCAAACTCGACGTTGGATGACGGGGAGAAACCACCGCCGACCATCCCGCGTTGTAAGAGCTCTATGCCGGATGTTAAATTCACGCAAAGATCAGTGCGTAGAGCACTTCTCTCCCTTGAAATCCATGTCGAGTGGGCCCGATGGCATTCCTCCAATTGTGCTTAGGACGTGCGCACCAGAGTTGGCTCCGGTTCTTACGCGTCTTTTTCGGCTCTGTTACTCATCAGGTATAGTCCCAAAGTTTTGGAAGACTGCTTTGGTGCATCCGATCCCTAAAAAAGGAGACCGCTCAGATCCAGCTAACTATAGGCCCATAGCTATCACTTCCTTATTCTCGAAAGTCATGGAATCAGTTATTAACCATCAACTGCTCCGGTACCTAGAAGATCGCCAGCTGATCTCAGATCGCCAGTACGGCTTTCGACGGGGACGCTCGGCTGGTGATCTTTTAGTTTATTTAACACACCGATGGGCGGTGGCAATCGAGAATAAGGGAGAGGCCTTAGCTGTTAGTCTAGATATTGCGAAAGCCTTTGATCGGGTGTGGCATAGGGCACTAATCTTAAAACTACCTTCGATTGGGTTGCCTGCGAGATTGTGCAGTTGGGTCGCCAGTTTTCTTAAGGAACGTAGCATTAAGGTCGTAGTCGACGGAGCATGCTCTGACTTAAAACCTGTGAATGCTGGTGTCCCGCAAGGCTGTGTACTATCTCCGACACTGTTTCTTCTGCATGTCAATGATATGTTACAGATCAGTGATATTCATTGTTATGCAGACGACAGTACAAGAGATGCATTATACACCAGTCATGCAAAGATCTCGCGGGCACATACCGATGAGCTCCGGAACAGACTTGTGTCTGAAATCGAAACTTCACTCGATAAAGTTTCGATCTGGGGTGAACGCAATCTTGTTCACTTTAACCCTAAGAAGACACAAGTCTGCGCGTTCACCGCAAAAAAGACACCGTTTGTCGTATCTCCTCACTTTCAGGGCACTTCCCTCGATAATAAGTCGAGTCTGGGGATTCTTGGCGTCGATATATCTAGCGACGTCCAGTTTTGCGGTCATCTGGAGGAAAAAGCTAAGATAGCTTCCAAAAAGTTGGGGGTGCTCAATAGGGTGAGACGGTATTTCACGCCAGAAAACCGCCTGAAACTATATAAAGCTCAAGTGAGGCCACACATGGAATACTGTTCTCACCTGTGGGCAGGAGCGCCACAGTACCAACTCCTTCCGTTAGACCGCATTCAAAGTCAGGCAGCTCGAATTGTTGACGATCGGCGTCTTACTGTCCGGCTCGACCCACTGAAACTGCGTAGAGATGTTGCATCTCTGTGCATCTTCTACCGAATTTATCATGGGGAGTGCTCTGAAGAATTGTTCGGATTGATACCTGCTGCAGATTTTCACCATCGTACAACCCGCCATAAACTAAAATTTCATCCTAACCATCTGGACGAGTGGCGGTTCTCTACCGTGCGTTTTTCAAGGCACTTTCTCCCACGCACAACCACTCTTTGGAATCAACTTCCAGCAGCAGTATTTCCGAACCGATACGACAACATAACCTTCAAGAGCATATTCCTTCTTAAAAGGCCGGCAGCACACCTGCAATGCCGCTGGTGTTGTGGGTGACCATGGGCGGCGGTAGTCACTTACCATCAGGTGAGCCGCATGCTCGTTTGCCCACTGTGTTGTAAAAAAAAAATCCTCCAAAATGTGAAGAACTGTGTAAAATGAAATTGCCATTAAATTGCCGTTTGTTAGTAAGACATTTGCGCACGTGCAGCTGGTCGGAGGCGCGGCGCGTGCACGAGTGGCGCGGCGCGGTGTCGGCGGCGGCGGCGGCGGCGGCGGCGGCGGCGGCGGCGGGCGGCGCGGCGGGCGACGTGCAGGGCGGCGCGTGTCGGCTGGCGGCGCTGAACCTGTCGCACAACCAGTTCACGTGCGTGCCGCCCGCGCTGGCCTGCCGCGCGCCCGGCCTCGCGCGCCTCAACATGGCCTACAACTCGCTCAGGTACCCTGCACTGCCGCCACTCCCTCCACCTCCCCACCTCCCCACCTCGACCTAATGAAATTGCATTTTTTTTTTAATTTAAAAGTATGTCTATATTTGTAATATTAAAATGTTACTGTTTCCAGATCGATGTCATACGTGACGTCGTACCCGACCAACCTCCGCCAGTTGGACCTCAGCCACAACGAAATCACTTGTTGGCCCAGTTTGCCGCAGGTCACTTGCCCGTTTAATCATATGCTGGGACATTTTATATAGCAAAAAGACAAGGGCAAAACAATAAACTGAGTTGAATTGAATTTTGTGTTACTATGCCATACGCATGAAAGGAAAAGAAACGTTATTTTTTTTATATATTTTGCTTTTTTTTGTATATGCAATTTTTTTATCTCTCTTTACTGTAATGGTATGTCTATGTGTATTATTGTGTGCTGTAAGTAATGCATCTACCTACGTTACAACCTGTACCAGAGAGAGAGGAGTTATTCTAGGCATCTCACTCGCATTTGTATGACCGAGCATTCTTTTTTGCTCGGTTCTCTCAGGTTGAAATCAAGTTCATATAAGATATTTTCGGCTACTTAATATCTCCCAATATTTTTAAAGGGTAAGATATGTATGGATATATTTAAAATAAGATCGGATGGCTCATACTTGTCCCGGAATTGTCTAATGCTCGCCCCTAGGACGTGAGCAGGACTTTTACTACCGATCTCCATTTATTTCCAAGTAATTTTCCATATCAAATTCATTCATTTGCTAATATAGGTAGAGAACTTTGGGTCAACTGAAGGCGATCCCCTGGCGTGCTACTGCCCCAACTCCTCAAATTCCAACAGCGCCAAGACCAGACCGAGGTCCGGGGGCTCGGTGCGGTCGCAGCTGCTGAACGCCGCCTGTCCAGCTAGGAGACACCTACGGCTGGAGGGCCTCAGGACACTGGTAAGTTTTTGGTTTTGTGAAACTCAACGTCACCTATACAATGACGAAGTCAGAATATAATGTGTCGACATAGCCTTAAAACAATGATAGGGGCAATAATTTGCCATTGCCCATTAAACAAACATTTATACACAATAGGAGCCACAGACAGCCCTCTATGTCGAGGTTGTTTCGATGCCGAAGAAACGGCTGCTCACGTAATCCTGGAATGTGAAGCTATGGCCGATCAACGGAGAGGTCGCTCCGTGAGGCATGTAAAGGTACCAGGAAACTTCTGTGCTTGTGGGCGGAGCTGGGCTGGCTGTACTGGCCACGACTCGTACCCACGACAGCCCAAATGAGAGGCTTAGTGCGGGAAAGTGAGTCTTATTTATATTTACATTGCATTATGTGTACATATGCACAGATCCTGGCCAACAACCTGCTGAGCCGCATCCAGCTGACGACGGATGACGACGGGCAGCTGTCCGCGCCGCTCGACGCGCCCGCCGAGGACCAGAACGACGACTGGGTGAGTGCTCGCTCGATATTTACCGGATCGTGAAAAATGAATCGTTTTTTTATCGGATCGCGAATTAATACGAATCGCATTTATTTCTGTTTGTATTTTTACCTATCCCAATAATGAAGTACTGCGTTCGCGATTCACTTGTTCGTGGTTTGACGGGTGGCATATGGCAGTGAATTTACTGGATACAGAGGAATAACACCTGAGTCCTCAGGAGTGGCAACGCATGGTGAGGTCATCATGGGCGAAACAGTATACTCTGTTATGTCCACGGTACTGCTCATGTCTATAGGCGACGGTTACCACTTTCCATCAGGTGGGCCGTCAGCTTGTTTGCCATTCTAAGTTGCATAAAAAAAAATTGTTCATGCTAAAGGTCGACTGGTAGAAAATGCTACTAGAATTAAGGCCATCTTTTGTACCATATTTTCTTTTCGTCAGTAAAGTTATTTAAATAAATATATAAAATAAATCATCTTGTTTGTTTTTCTCAATTGCATAAAAAAGAAATATGTATATCTGTCTGTTTCTGTCACACCCCCAGAACAACGGGTCGAGCCTCAAGGGTCGGCTGCTGTTCCCGTTGCTGTCGATGCTGGACGTGTCGTGCAACCTGCTGCGCGCCATCCCCCCCGCCATACACGAGCTCACCAACCTGTCCGTGCTCAACATCAGCGGGAACAAAGGTAACGCGCCGTCATACTCGGGAACGGAACGTTTTTAATTTGGTTCCAAAATACACAAAGGTAACGCGCCGTCATACTCGGGAACGGAACGTTTTTAATTTGGTTCCAAAATACACAAAGGTAACGCGCCGTCATACTCGGGAACGGAACGTTTTTAATTTGGTTCCAAAATACACAAAGGTAACGCGCCGTCATACTCGTGGACTTCATCATCATCTTATCACTGCTGAACATAGATCTCCTACATATGAGTAATTTGCCAGTAGTTGCCATGCTTGGCAACAAATGTTAGGCTTTGGTGATGTTGAACGAGGGACGCTATTGCCCATCCCTCGACTCTAAGTAAGTTATCTTAGTCGTTTTTTACGAAACCCATGAGAAACAAAGGGGTATTTTTTTTTTATGGGTGAAAATGGCATGGTAACCCCGCCTGCGCAAATGGTATACGCTTGCGGAGCACCAGTTGATAGATGAGAATGAAAACAGGCCAGTTAGCCCATCATGATGAATTCATCAGGAATTAACCATGATAGTTTCCAAGGGGAACCGCGAGAAGGTCGACCTGGTTGGGTATATTGCTAGCAATGGGATTCTCAGTCTCCATTACTAATAATCCCTTTCCCCCCGAAACGAAAGGGTGGTCCATTCTATGCCGGGACCACACGATCAACTCCGGGACTTGATAGAGTAATATTAATAAATGCCATAGTTACACCAATGACCTCCTGCTCCTCGAGCTAGGTAAAATGAGGAACCGGGCGACGACCTGGATGTACCACTCAGAATATACAGACCTGAGCCAATTCATAATAATTTGTTTCCTTAACCGACCCAATTGGGAATTGAACTCAACTTCTTTTTCATTGGTATACAAACTATATCCCGTGGCTTCGTCCGCCTGAATCAGTAAGGTCATAAAGTATCTTTAAGGAATTTAGAATAGCAAACAAGCTGACGGCCCACCTGATGGTAAGTGGTAACCGTCGCCTATAGACATGAGCAGTACCGTGGACATAACAGAGTATACTGTTTCGTCCATGATACCTCCCATGCGTTGCTATTACTACCTATGTACCAAATTTCATTGAGATTCGCTAAGTACTATTGAGGCCCCACGCCGGCAGACATCACGGAGCTGCCGCCGCAGCTGGGGCTGCTGTCGCGGCTGTGGAACCTGAACACGGCGGGCTGCTCGCTGCAGGAGCCGCTGCGCTCCATGCTTGCCAGCGGCAAGTACAAGAGCATGGACATCGTGGGCTACCTCAAGTCCGTGCTGCAGGAGGCGCGGCCCTACACCAGGATGAAGCTCATGATTGTCGGCGTGCAGGTGACGGCTCCACTCGATGCTGTTAAACAGGAATAATCAAAACAAAATGTTCCATCAAAGTTGATCACCAAAGGTTGACCGGGAGAGTATACTATATACCAGAGGTAGCAAGGTAGAAAATTTAATATGTTGCTAATCGAGCGGAAGATGCTGGGACGCGACGCTCGCACTAATATAAACAAGTAGTCGCCGAGAAGCAGTTTCAGTTTCACGTTCTCCCTCTTAATACAATAAACAATACTGCAACACTACACGCTCGTGTACTGAACTGTGCCGTTACATCTGTGATCTCATGAAGTATGCAATTGGTAGATCGCACAGGGTCTCGTCGGTAGACAGTAGAGCTTGGGTCCAGTCAAGTCTGCCACCCCTGATGTATAGCATTAAGTCCGACTACAGCATGGGATTCTTCAAAAAAGGGATAAAGAGGTTTCTTCAGGGTCGGCAACACACGCGTAATGCTCCTGGTATTGCAGGCGTTCATAGGCTACGGTAACCGCTTACCATCAGGTGGGCCGTATGCTTGTTTGCCACCTTAGTGACATGAAAAAAAAACCCAACCGATTCGGGTGTTATTCCTCTGTACTCAGTAAATTCACGCCATATCCCACCCTTTAAACCGAAACATAGCCATAAAAACACAACTGCTTTACGGTAGAAACACGAAGGGGACAGAGGTGTCCAAAACAAATGACAAGGTCTCCTTCTAGTCTCGTTTTCCCACCCATATTTTTTTGCAAAAATGTTTAGTTTTACTGGTAGATAATATTATTGTAACGGCAGGGCATCGGCAAGACGAGCCTGCTGGAGTGTTTGCGGCAGGAGTCCGCCATACAGCACAGGAGAAAGCCCACCGAGGTGAGTGCTGCAAAATCAACATGTTCCGATCAAGCGGATGGAGTTTCAGGAAAAACCATTAAGCATTTGTCAAGAACTTCAGACACTAACTTGGGTATTGTTGCCAGCACTGGGCGAAGCGTATGGGCAACAAGTCGTCTCGTCGGAATATGTCGACAGTGGGCGTGGACATCGGCACGTGGACGTACGAGAAGCAGCGCTCCACGCGTGGACCCGTCACCTTCAGGACATGGGACTTTGGGGGGCAGCAGGAGTGAGTGCTCTGTCTAAGATTCTAAGATTATTATAAATGAAAATTTGTGAGCATAGATGGATGAATGTTTTATGTTCTAACTTAATATATATCCGGCTCGAAAGGCTGAAAGATGTATGTTTCGTACACCGTGAATGCTGTGGCTAATGTAAATAAGGTTGATATTGATATGAAATAATAGAAATACATATATATTAACACGTTGAGCCCGGCGCCGAATTTTGCTGTCTTTTCCGTTCAGCCGGCAGCCGGCGAGAGATACAATGTTGTATGCTATCGCCAAGAGATTGCTTTAGTACTGAGATAAGGAATTCTTTGCCGCGCTATTTTGGACGTTTTTTAGGTGTATGTGTAATGTATGTGGGATTCTATTCCATATTTTCGTATGATGTATAGTAAAACCACGTACGTACCTTCGAGAGGTGATCAGTTACAAGAGACCTATCGAAGTGTACAGATTGTTCGTAAAAAGAAAATTGAATTTAGTTTTGGAAATAGTTATTGCCCATAACATTGAATATGTCCGACGCTGGCCACACGGAAAATTCGCTGCCGGTCCCTAGGGACCGGCGCCGGCCACACGAAAAGTTTGCTGCCGGTCCCCAGGGACCGGCGCCGGCCACACGAAAAGTTTGCTGCCGGTCCCCAGGGACCGGCGCCGGGCCCAACGTGTTAACAGTGCTTAACAAAATGAAACGGCATCAAATGTGGGATCTATGGTGTTGTTAATAGTTATAGATTTCGATCAGGTGGGGCGCTAGCTTCTTGCTAGTTCAATTTGTATAAAAATATAATAATAGGATTTTATTGAGTTAGTCTTATTGTGGTGCCAGAAGGTGGCCATAGGAACTTTGTAATGTGGCCATAGTGACTTTGTAATATGTGGCCATTGTTCTGATAGAACCGTGCTTAATACGGCCAATGAAGCTCCGCCTAGCTCCATGTTATATACGCGGACCTTACAGAGCAATCCGACTGTTTCAGTGGATTATGGGAGGCCACGCCTAAATATTCGAAATTACATTAGCGGCCAACTTTAGGAATTTTGTAATGCAATACAATGGGTACATCTTGAGAGTCCTTGTGGAGGCTACTTAAAACGATGCTGCCGCCTGACGTGTGGTGGGTGTCCCCGGCAGGTACTACGCGACCCACCAGTACTTCCTGTCGCGGCGCTCGCTGTACCTGTGCGTGTGGCGCTGCACGGACGGCCGCCGGGGGCTCGCCGGCGCCCTGCAGTGGCTCAGGTGAGGGGGGAGGGGGGAGCCAGTATTATACATGGCCGAGTCAATTGCAAAGAATGAATCAACATCGTAGATAATAAACACTATTTTTTGGTATTCACAGATCCATACAAGCTCGTGCTCCGGGCTCGCCCGTTATTATGGTCGCCACGCACTATGACCAAGTGGCTAATGTAAGATTAATATAACTTATCTAGTAATAACAACTAACTTAACAGCAGCGTTCCTCTTAAAAGGTCATTTAAAGTCAAACTGTGGTTGTAAACTCGTCTTTGATAGTAGCAGCTACTTGCAAAGCTCTTCTTATGCTCCCCCATAATGTGTTCCCATAATCTGTTTATGTTCAGCAGTAGACAGTTAATGGCTGATATAATAACCTAGCCATTCTGTTTACGAGTATACTAATAGTACATTACTGCAGCGGCCAGCAACTGAGGCATAGATGGACGAACGTGCAAATGTGGGCCGAGGTGTAGCCGAGGCACACATACGTGAGTCCATCAATGCCTAGTTGTGGCCAAGGCTTGTATAGTACTTTTGTCAAACAATGCGCGGAAATCAAAAACACAATTTTACTTTTTAAGTTCAATGATGAATAACGAACAATAATAATTTTTCACGCGCCGTAATGTTCCTTTGTTTTTTTTTTTCAATAAACAGCTTTCTACTTGCAAGCCAGTTCGAAATTTAAATAAAACCTTTTATTAGTTACCTCCTTGGTAGCCATGTTTCGAAGTAAAAGGTTATTCCATTTTTAAATTACAGGACAGATATGAGTTTACATAGTAATTTATCTGGCCGCAAAACACGACAGATATGGATTTTCATACAACTTTTGCCGGCCGCTGCCCGCATGTATCTGGCCAGTACGGCAATTTTGATTTATCTCTAAGAAGATTGTCGAAATAATGCTCACATTTCCATGCATGTTTGAGAAAAGAATTTATTTTTATATAATATTAACATTTTATAAGAAATTTAAAACATGCTATGATAGGGCTGCTATGTCTAAGGAAGGTAAAAGAGTTTAGAAATTTTTAATAAAATCCGGATAGCGTTAGAATGTGTCCGGAACTAATAAGCGTGGCGGTGTGCCGGCAGTGCCCCCTGGCGGAGAGCGAGAGCCCGGAGGCGCTGCAGCGGCTCATCCGCGCCAGCATCATGGGCGCGCCCGACGCCGACAAGCTCGGCCTGCCGCGCGTGCTCGACTCGCTCGAGGTCAGCCGCTCACGCACTCACTCGCTCACCCAATGATGCTCACCCGTCATACTTGTGAACGGGTGCTGCCTGCAGGGACTGCAACTGATTGATTTTATTGATTTGTTTTAATTTGCTTAGCAGTTTGTATTCACACAAATTTATTATTTATATAGTTAAACTTTTTGAAAAAAGCAACAGCTGAGTGTCTTGTCCGTTCTTCTCGTCTCAAATTGCGTTCCGAATGGGCAGTAATGAAAAAAGGACTATTCGGTAGAAGATGCATAGAGATGCATCTTCTACCGAATTTATCATGGGGAGTGCTCTGAGGAATTGTTCGGATTGATACCTATTGCTGATTTTACACCACCGTACAATCCGCTACAAACTAAAGTTTCATCCCAACCATCTGGCGAGTGGCGGTCCTCCACCGTGCGTTTTGAAGGCACTTTCTTCCACGCACAACCACTCTTTGGAATCAATTTCCAGCAGCAGTATTTCCGAACCGATACGACATCGTAACCTTCAAGAAAAGAGCATATTCCTTTTTAAAAGGCCGGCAACACACCTACAGTGTCGCTGGTGTTGTAGGTGATCATGGGCAGCGGTAGTCACTTACCACCAGATGAGCCGCATGCTCGTTTGCCGTCTGTGTTGTAAAAAAATTAAAAAATGCTTGAATCTAAGTTTACTTAAGTGAATATTTTCTTTCTTTCTCGTTGCAGGTGTCGTGCAGCACGCGACACAACATCCGGCTGCTGGCGGACATCATATACTCGGTCGCGTTCAGCGTCAAGCCGCCAGGTAAGTAGGCACCTTAACAGGCCTCACGGAGCGATCTCACTCAAACCAAATTAAATAAATAAAATAATAGATAGATTAATCAATTAATTAATTAATCATGTAATATATTGCTTATAAATCGACCACTGAAAACTTTGCACTTACTTCATATTAATTGTTTTTATACCACTGAGGTGACAAACAACCATACGGCCCACCTGATGGTAAGCGGTTACCGTAGCCTATGAACGCCTGCAATATTAGGGGTATTACGCGCGCGTTGCCGACCCTGAAGATACCTCTTTACCCCCCTTTTGAAGAACCCCACGCTGTAGTATCTTAGGAAAATCTCGACAGGGAGTTCATTCCATAACCTGAGTGTTCGTGGGAGAAAACATCTCTGAAACCGCGCTGTACGCGACCATATAAATTGTACCCTACAAGTGAGGGTGAACTCCCTGTCGATGGCGCTAGTACATGTGCGCGGGTGCGCGTGCGCAGGCAGCAAGGAGCCGCTGCTGGAGCAGCGCGTGCCGGCCACGTACGTGGCGCTGGAGGAGGCCGTGGTGGCCGTCGCCGCCGACCTGGACGAGCCCGTGCTGCGCCACGACGACTACCGCCGCCTGGTAACCGCCGTCGCCGCCGTCGCCGCCCCTACTGGCTACGCACCATTACACATTGCTGAGGCCCAGTGCTCTTACCAATGAGTTCATTCTATTACTCATTCATTAATTACTTATTCATTAATTCGCTCACTTGTTCATTTGTGCCTTCAGTATTATTGCTCGTTATTTCCTTCATTAATACACGCAATCTTTTGTTTATTAATCCATTCGATCATTAATTCATCCAATGACACATTCTTCTTCTCTTGTCTACTTCCACCTCTACCGTACATTCGCTTTACTCGTTCGCTCACATGTCATATATTTAATTTGTTATTTGGTCAAGTATTCAATCGTATATTCATTAGTTCATCAATTTATTCATTGGTTCATTAATTTATTCATTCATTACATATTTATTTATTTATTCAAAGGAAAACCAGGGCTACACTAAAGCAAATAGATACAGTTTTAGGATAACAAAATAAGCCACTAATAGGTTTTCACAAGTAGCAACAATATAGATACAAGGCGCTGCACACAAAGCAACAAAAATATGAGTTAACAAAAAAAAAGTGAACAAACAAGAGAGAACAAATAAAAACAAATAATAATAATGATAAGTAAAATACAAATTAAAGATTAAATGTAAATATTTAACCTAAATATGGCCTTTTTATCCATACAATAGTAATTTAAACAGACTATGAATAAAAAAAATTGCCTACTCAGTTGGTTTCCCACTGATATTATATTTTTTTAAAATAGATCGATATTAAAAGTTCTAGAAAGAGTATTAAAGTTGTTGTTGTTATATTAATTTACTCTTTGTTTCTGTAATAGTCTTGACTACCAGTATATCATACTAGCTACTTCCTGCGGCTTCTGCTACGTGAAAAAAGTATATAGGATATATGCCAAGTTTGACCTACCCGTGTGCCAAATTTCATTCGTGTTTTGTTGCTTTGTCTACTAGCAGCGCGTTGGTTGGTTCGCAGGTGACCCAGTATATGCAGAGTAAGAACCTGCGCATGTTCCGCGACGCGGCGGAGCTGCACCAGGCCACCATGTTCCTGCACGAGAACGGTCAGTTGCCGTCATGGAAACAAAATATTTATATACTTTTACAGTGTACAGAGAAAAGAAGGTATAGTGGATTAGTCGAATTAATAAAAAAAACTGCACCAAATTGCATGTGATTTTCACAGTAGTACCCCTGAAGGTCTCTGCATGTTTTGTCTTGATATATCATCTACAAGTGGTATACTTGATACATTTTCATGCTTGTGATCGTATGCGTGTGTGTGCAGGCGTGCTGCTGCACTACGACGACGCGACGCTGAAGGAGTTGTACTTCGTGCGGCCGCAGTGGCTGTGCGACCTGCTCGCGCACGTCGTCACCGTCCGCGAGATCAACCCCTTCGCCAACAACGGTACGTCCTATACACGCACGCACACACACGTATGTATACCTACAAACACTTACACGTATACACACGTACACACACGCGCACGCGCACGTACTCACATGCACACCCACGTATTAATTTACATACGCACATACACATGCTCACTCTAGTACATACACGCATAATCACAGATGCGAACATTTACTACCGTTTTTACTATACAAAATCACACGCACACCCTAACTCACGTTCACACATATACACGCATGCTCTCGCACATACACTCGTACTCACAGGCATTCACACGTATATATACGCACACGCTCACCAAATATACGCTCACGTACACACACATACACGTACACACACATACACGTACACACACGGATACGGATGCGCTTGCTTACGTACATGTTCTCACGCACACATGTACATACACGGCAACATACAAGCACGCACGAACAGTACATGGTACATATTTCATCCTACACACTGAACCGTGTAAACAAGCAACTTGGAAATATACATAGAATCATTTGAAGTTACCACTGTATTTACTACTGATTTTCGGTGGCCGATCTTCAGTCGCCGATCATCCGTAACGAAACGCCGGTACATCAAATTGCTCATTACACCGAGTGGATGATCGGTCATTATGGCGATAGGACAATTGTACTCTGTGATATTTTGAACGTAGTGTTGGCCTTTTACTAATGAAACTCAGTATTGTTTTTGATGAAATACGACACGCAATACGTTGCACACGTCACGCGTGTTAGGCGCGTGTGACGCGTGTGACGCGTGTGACGCGTACGAGGTGTCGCTCGGCAGGCATGATGCGCGCGGAGGAGCTGGCGCACGTGTTCAAGGCGTCGCCGGCGCTGGGCGGCGGCGCGGCGGCGGCGGCGCGCGGCGCGGCGCTGCTCAGCAAGTTCGAGCTGGCGCTGTGCTGCGACGCGCGGCTGCTGCTCGTGCCGCCGCTGCTGCCCGCGCGGCCGCCGGCCGCGCCGCAGGTACACGCCTCATACAGCTCGACGCTCTCAAACAGCAAATTAACCATTCTTAGTTTCGACGCCGCGCAATGTATTTAATACGCGCAATGTATTTTTGACGCGCGATACCTACAACGCGCGCTAAGAACCATAAGAAATATTGTCTTTTCTTATTCAAAACTTTTTAAATTTCAGTTGTTTTTAAAGCTTATGGTCATTTTTATTCCAAATCTACGTAAATACGGGAGGTTAATGGATTCACTGTTACATTTTGCTATTTTCGACAAATGACTTCATCGAAAGTCTTCTTCAGGGCGCGTTCAGCGATTTACGTCACAGCGTTTCGCCTCGCAATCATTGTCAAAAACAACAAAAACTCATTAACTATTCATGAACTAATTTCCCGTATTTACATATAAATTTAATTGAAGTTTATCTGTGTAAAAATGTTGCGTGTGTGCGCGGACGCAGCTGCCGCTGCGCGGGCGCAGCGCGGCGGCGTGGCGCGGCTGGCCGCCGCCCGCCGCCACCGACTCGCGCCAAACCGACTCGCCCACGCTCATCAGTAAGTCTGCTCTTTGGATGTGTCATTGTACTTGTAACTTATTATTTATATAAAAAAAAAACAAAATTACACTACTATTAATATATACCAGCCGTTAACTGTCCACTGCTGGACATAGGGCTTCCCCATAAGGAGATTTTGCCAGTAGTTGCCACATTTGGCAGGCGAGTTGACAAGTACTGGGCAGTAAGATACTTATTTTTGGCTGGATGGGTGTACGGTAGGACGATCGCGGTTGTACTGACAAAACTATTAAAGGTGGCAGCTGTCGCAGACAACGCGCTGGAATGTGTGAGCGAGATGCACGACACAAAGCCGTAACAACTACAGTTATTCTTTAGTGAAGTTTTAAAAGGGACGCTGCTGCTATTGCTAACAATTCCTTCTCCCCAATTGGAGGAAATATATTCAGATATAAGCTTGAGTACGGCTGTACAATGCGCGGGAGCACCTGGGTATCAGCTTGTACCTTTCAATTTCTATCCCTGACATAGTAGATAGAGTGGCAAATACACAAGGCTTTCTGCCAATGTACATGATTTTTTTAAGATCGCCAGAAACAGAAATGGAGGACCGTCCTTAGTGAGAAGGTGATAGATGTAGAAGGTGGTGATGTTGGAGATCACGATCCTCAGTGCTCATCATTCATTTCACTATCCGCTATCTGACACTGAAAATGTACTCGCTGAACCTCCGTAACAGATGCTGGGAGATTGTTTTAGCGGAGAGAGGTTTTACACAAGAGTCATCTGCTTGGATACATTCCTGATATCAAGCAGCTGTGTTTGAGCTTGAAAGCTGAGTTACAGTCAACGGAAACATATTATCTCAGTTGTCAGGGTTGTTGGTGGGTTGCTTGATTAGGTCTTTACTGGTAAATGAAGACGCTTGATTGACGAAACTGTGGACGGTAAACATTTTATAGTTAGTTCTCGTTGAAGTTCATACACAATATAGATATGGTGTCGTCGTTGGATAAAATATCGACGAAAAATAATGTCAGCCGAAAAAGTCCGAGGGTTGAGGTATTGTTCTTTGATGATATTTGAAGGGCGTTACAGTTCATGCTGTGTAGTTCATGGTACTGTTCACGACCTAGGTGGTGATTACCATTTTATATTGTGAGAATCGTCAGCTTCTTTGTCACTTTGAGAAAAAAATGTGATCCATGTTTTGGGAACCGTCATCTCCTTTGTTACTTTGAGGGGAAAAACGAGATCCATGTGCGAGTGTATGGGTATGCGTATATGCAGACGACTCGGAGGGCGCGGACTCGGGCGGCGGCGTGTGCCTGCAGGCGCTGCGGCCGCGCGCGCTGCGGCGGCTGCTGCTGCTGTCGTACGTGCCGTGCGGCTACTGGGCGCGGCTGGTGGCGCGGCTGCTGGCCGACCCCACGCTGCCGCAGGCCGCCCGCGCCGTCTACCGCCCGCCCCCGCCGCCGCCCTCGCCACAGGTACGTGTGCTGCGCCCGCTATCATGCAATAGTGCGAACGCACTTAAACTTTATTTTGTACTTTCTTCTCTGCCTCTTTTGAAAGAAGAAAAATGCGACTATGAGTAGGTACTAACACAGTATAAAGTAAAAGATACTTTATTTGACTGCCCCTCAGCAGACTGAGTCCGATGATGCGCTTACCAAGGCGTTGGACCTGAACTGGGGCTGGAAGCTGTGGAAGACAGGCGTGGAGCTGGTGTGCGGCGAGCTGACGCTGCTGTCGCTACGCGAACTACCTCCTGCTCGCGACGCCGTGTTGGGTGCCGTCGGGGACGACGAGGACAGCGACGAGCCCTACCACAATATGAAGTGAGCTAATGTGAAATCTAAACACTTGGCTTATATTAATAATTAAACTTTCTCTTAAATTGTCAAAGGTTTTAGAAGGGACCCTGGGCAAAACAATTGACTATTATAGTCAGGGTGTATGATCTGTGCAGGTTCAGGCTTCAGCAGGAAGGCGTGTGGTGCGACCTTGACGTCCAGGCGTCCACCTGCATAGAGATCCTGATCCCCGCGCAAGTTTGCGTCGTGAAAAGGGAAGATGGCCTGCCCATAGCTGGTTACCAGGTTAGGAGTTGTACTCGTTAAAGTTTCTATAACATAAGATCACTGATTTCAGTAGTGCTGTGGTAAGTTTTGAGTAAAATAGAAATGGTACAATTTATTTTTTACTACTATGAGCATTTTTGAACAGCACTGTACGCGACCATTTAGGTTCTAAGGTGTTGATGGCGAATGAGATGATGGCAAAAGGTAGCCATGGGCATCGTTTTGAACTTATGTCTGAAAAAAGGTCTTAAAAAGGACTAACATCAACTTTGGAAGAAAATATAATAAAATCTTAAAACCTAAAAAATCACTTCAAAGAGGTCGAGTATTAACATATTGCTTGCCTTCTTTTCGAGCCCCCATATCTGCCACTATCTCCAAGATCTGCGTGTAAATGAATATAAGATAGCCTGTGTTGTGTGTGTGCAGAGCATCAGCCTGGAGCCGAACCCTGAGACCCTGGCCAAAGTGCTGGCGCTGTTATCGGACCACGTAGACTTGCTGCTGGAAGACTGGTACCCGTCGCTCGGTGAGTGTATTGTCTACATTCTGGATGTTGCTACCACATGTATACAGCAATTGTTCTATAGATAGATTCCTATGCTACTTGTCTATGAAATGTTTATTAAATGTCTTGGGAGTTTTTCTATGAATGAAAATGAGATGGCAACCCCACTCGTGGTGTCGCCATATATAGAAAGGTTTCCAGCTCAGTGAGTGATCAAGATGAAGACATGTCCGTTTCCTTTAGTCTGGTTTGTTTAACTGGAATGACTCTAAAGATATCTCTTTATGCCCTTATTTGAAGCTACAAGACTACAAGTCTCTTAGTACCAGGTATTGTGTCTTCTTACCTATTTGCTTTACTACTATATGTCTCTTCAAGTCAGAATGAAGCATGCAATAACAATGCTATACAACAGCATAGATAGGTGCCTATGAAGACGCCATTGTACAGCCAGACACTTATATACGTCTCTCCCCCCTCTCTCCGGCAGGCACCCGGTTCGTGCACACGTCGGAGGGGCGGTGCCTGATCACGCGCGTACTGCCGTGCCCCGCCTGCCTGCGGGACGCGGACCAGCAGCACCAGCACCAGGAGCAGCAGCAGCAGCAGGACCGAGAGCACCAGGTCCACGAACAGCTCGACCAGGTCACATACACGCGTCATTGTATACAAATGAGTAGAATGGAAATTCTTTGTAAATCACGAAACACGTGTTGAAAGACAGCAAAAATTTGAATTTCTCGTTCTGCGTCGCTGCAGGCGTTGCGGCGGCTGCAGCTGGCGGGCGCCGCCGCTGCCGGTGCTGGCGGCGGGCGGCCGCGCCTGTCGCAGGAGTCGCGCGCCTCGGACGGCGACAGCGGCGTCGGCGCCGAGTCCAACGGTGACTGCTTGCATTCATTTTATTTTTTGTTTTTCATTTATTTTTGTTCATACCCATTATTACAGTCTCAGTTACTTCGTTTGCTGTATTGCTGAACTCGTCTATTTTGGCCACTCCTTCCTTTCCCGTGGATGTCGTAAGAAGCGACTAAGAGAACTTATGGTGGAGGGATGGGCAGCAGCATCCCTCTTAAAATCGCACCAAAAAACCAAACTGGGTTTACAACCTGACTGCCAAGCGTTGTAACTACCAGCAAATTCCCCCTATGGGGAGGCTACATTCAGCAGTGGACAGTTAACGACTCATTCAACAATTAGTGGTTTAGTTTATCTTAGAATATTAATAATTTATAATAGTGTAGCTCTGGATTTCCTGTATAAATAAATAAATGACGTCGATAAAGAATCGAGTTTTAATAATACTAGTATGTTTTAATAGTTCCACCAGTGGCATGAGTAGTATCGATACCACCCCGGTATCTATATATTGGGCTCCTCTGGACGTTAATGGCGGGAAAAATAGTTGTTTTATTTCATTACCTCTCATACCAGTTGAATATCTACTCATTTCAATTAACTTTTGCATATTCATATTAAATAAGTATCGGGTCTATATATAGATATTGCATCTGAAATATATAGATATCGCTATTTATTGACATAAGAACAACTCAAAGTTCTCTCCAAGCTACTTGGTCACTAATCTATTATTTGTATCGTGCTATTGAGAGTAGTGATTTGCACCCAATAGTTTTACTTATACCATGGTATTTCCCGGGCAGCGTCGTCCCGGCTGGGCTCCGTGGAGGGCATGGTGAGCCCGCCCGCCCGCACGGTGTCGTATGCGTGGAGCGTGGAGGAGGCCATCCTGCTGGGCTGCACGTCCCGCCCGCTGCACTGCCCGCGCCACGGGGACGTGCGCCATCGGGACGTCGCGCCAGACATCGTCAGTACAGCCTGTGTATAACGTTTTATTTTATGGTCCTTCGAGCCGGATCACAGTCAATTATAATAGTTGTAAATAATCAAGTTACCTTTTTCACAGTGTTGTAAAAAATTGTTCAAGTATGAATACATAGCTGTGTAGGTCTACCTCGACACAGAATAGGCCACCCTTTCCTTTCTCGTAGATGTCGTAAGTAGCGACTAAGGATACTTATGGTCAAGGGATGGGCAATAGCGTCCCTCTTAAAATATCACGTTTGCCAAGCATGATAACTTCTGGCAAAACTCTCCCTATGCGGGAGGCCATGTTCAGCAGTTAACGGCAATTAACGGAAGCGTGCGGCGTGGGCCGGCAGGTGCTGCTGGACGTGGAGGAGGAGTGCCGCGCGCGCTGGGAGCACATCTCGCGCGGCGCGGTGGCGGGCCGCGGCGCGTTCGGCACCGTGCTGGCGGCGGCGTGGCGCCGCGCCGGCGGCGGCGCGCCGCTGCCCGTCGCGCTCAAGGCGCTGCAGCCCGTGCCGCCGCCCGCGCACCACGACGCCGCCGCGCTGCACGCCTACAAGGTATGTGTTCGATCCTTTAGCACCACGTGTAGCTTTATCCGTTTGGTGGATTTAGAGAGTGTTTAGTTAGAGTGCAACTGTAGATGTAGTTATCGATCAAAAACCTGTACAAAGTAGTCTTTTTTTTTTATACCACTTAGGTGGCAAACAAGCATACGGCCCACCTGATGGTAAGCAGTTACCGTAGCTTATGAACGCCTGCAATACCAGAGGTATTACGCGCGCGTTGCCGACCCTGAAGAAACCTCTTTACCCCCCTTTTGAAGAACCCCATGCTTTAGTCTCTTGGGAAAACCTCGGCAGGGAGCTCAAACAATAACCTGAGTGTTCGTGGGAGATAGCATCTCTGAAACCGCGTTGTACGCGACCATTTAGGCTGTAAGGTATGAGGGTAAACTCCCTGTCGATGGCGAGCCTTACGATGATAGAAAGTGGCCGTAGGCATCATATTGAATAATTCCTCTGAGCACAATCCGTTGTATAAGCGGTAGAACACGCAGAGTGAGGCAAAATCTCTCCTAAGACTTAAGGGTTCGATACCGCTTGCAAGCATGGGATCATCGACAATTGTCATAGCTCGTCGTTGCACTGAGTCGAAGGGTTCAAGCTGGTATCTAGGTGCTCCTGCCCATAAGTGACAGCAATACTCCATATGGGGCCGCATTTGCGATTTGTAAAGCATTAATCGCTGATCCGGCGTGAAGTAATGCTTCGCTCTATTGAGCACATCGAGGTGGCCACGGAACTGTACGTCACTAGAGATGTCGACACCAAGGATCCCAATGCTTTTAGAGATGTTAAGAGACGTGCCTTGGAACTGTGGGGCCACAGCAAATGGGGTTTTCTTAGCGGTGAACGTGCAAGCTTGTGTCTTAGAGGGGTTAAATTTGACCAAGTTTTGTCGTCCCCAATCAGAGACTCCAGTTAGTGTTCTCTCGATTTCAAACACAAGCTGTTCACGATTGTTCTCCACGATGGAACGGGAGACATTGGTACAACCCGTATAAAGGGCATCCCCGGTGCTGTCATCCGCATAACAATGAATGCTACCGAAGTTTAACATATCATTAATATGCAGTAGAAACAGCGTTGGGGACAGCACAGAGCCCTGCGGGATGTCAGCGTTAATATCCATGCTATCGGAGCAGCAACCATCTACAACGGTTTTTATGCGTCTGACGGACAAAAAACTAGCAACCCATTTACAAAGGCTGTCGGGAAGTCCATAGTAGGGCAATTTCGATAGAAGACCCCGATGCCAGACCCGGTCAAATGCCTTTGCAATATCAAGACTGATAGCGAGCGCCTCACTCTGACTCTCAAAGGCTGATGCCCATCGGTGCGTAAGATATATCAAGAGGTCACCAGTTGAGCGACTATGGCGAAAGCCATATTGCCGGTCACTCGATAATCGTGATCCTCTAGGTATTTTAACAGCTGTGCGTTAATTATACGCTCCATCACCTTAGAGAGAAGGGAAGCGATTGCAATCGGTCTGTAATTTGAAGGGTCTGACTTATCGCCCTTTTTAGGTACAGGATGTACAAGGGTGGTCTTCCATGTCGAAGGAAATTGCCCTGTGGAGTACGAGATCGTGAAGAGACGCGTTAATACAGGACACAATTCCGGAGCACACTGCTTTAGGACCACTGCCGGTATACCGTCTGGCCCACTCGACTTATGAACATCTAAGGATAGCAACTCCCGCCGGACTTTACATTGTGTTATAGTAATTTCCTGAACATGACTTGAAGTCTTCGACTCGAAGTCATGTTCAGGCGTCGCTGGCCGCAACTTTTGGTGTGAACGGAGGTTGAAGGGAAGGTGACGCTGGCAGGCGGCGCTGTCGCGGTGGGAGCGCGAGCCGGCGGCGGCGGCGTGCCGCGCGTACTGCGGGCTGCGGCAGGAGCTGAGCATCCTGCGGCGGCTGCGGCACGCGCACGTGCTGCCGCTGCTGGCCGCGTGCGCCGCGCCGCTGGCGCTGCTGCTGGCGCTCGCGCCGCAGGTGAGTGTCGGAGCAGTGCGTGTGCGGCGCCTGCAGCCGACCGTACCCTAGCCCGAGCTTGTGTACTTGTGCAGGGGGCGCTGCACGGCGTGCTGCGGGCGTACCGCGGCCGCGGCGCGCGCGTGGGCTTCCGGGCGGCGCGCGCTGGCGCTGCAGCTCGCGCGCGCGCTCGAGTACCTGCACGCCAGGCGGATCGTCTACCGGGACCTGAAGGTTAGCTCGTCATCGTCGTCCTCATCGTTTCACCCATTGTCTGTCCACCGACGGACGTAGGCCAGGCTAGTCTGGCAGTCTTAAGGTACTTGCTGAATTTAATTATTTCTATTGGTTATTTGATTCCGACAGCGAACTATGGTGCTTTCATAAAATGATCTCTTCTTGAGATGATTCCTGGTAGGCAAATGAAAATTTACAGTTTATGTTTGAAATAAAATTACTAATGTAATTAGCAACGCCTGTTGGTAGTTACTGCTATTAGTTAGTCTAAACTTCAAAATTCGCAAAAGACTTCTCGTAATTTACACACAAATAAATACGAACGATATTAAAATGTTCCTTTGAAGGTCAAGTATAGACTTGGTGTTGTTTGTGGTTGCGCTGGGTTTCACAAATTTGTCGTCTGCAATCTATGGTCTGAATAGAAAAAAAGAAGAGTTGCATAAAATTGTTTGCTAATGTAACGGAGGATTCGGAGGATTCTGAGAAGCGGGTACAGGCGCATATAAATGTCACGTTAACGCGTGCGCAGTCGGAGAACGTGCTGGTGTGGAGCATGCCGACGGCGGCGGACGCGGCGGCGGCCGAGCGCAGTGCTGCCCCCATACCTGTACACGTCAAGCTCGGCGACTACGGTCAGCACACTCGCTCATTTATTAACATTTATTTCTTATATTTCTTTATACTTTTTGATCATTGGAAACGTCGTGGCCCAGTAGTGTACTACCTCGATTTATAAATCGTACCGGTCTTGAGTTGGAATCTGATTGATGCCAAACACTTTGTGTGTCAGTTTAAGGTATTGACTAACTCTCCAACGATGGAAAACACTGATAACAAACCAAATGAACTCGAGTGATATAATCGGTGACGACAAGTGCCTCTAGTTAGTCCAACAGGGAATAGTCCTTGAGTCGTGAACATGATTTTGTATGCAAAAAGCCATGATGTAAGGATACATTGGCAAAATAAAAAAAAATGTAGTATATAAATAAATGAAAATATATGTATATATATATAATTTTCTTTTAATCACGGACAGGCATCAGTCGCTTGGCACCGCCGTCAGGCACGAAGGGCTTCGGTGGCACAGAAGGGTTCATGGCGCCGGAGATCATGAGGTACAACGGTGAAGAGGAGTACAACGAAAAGGTGGGTCGTTGAAGCAATAGAAAGAAAGAAATTATTCAAGTAAACTTAGATTGAATTATTTCTGAATAGTTTTATTTTTTCATTACCGCCCATTCGGAATTCAAAATTAGCCAAAAACAAGAACCTGCTATTGCCTCAGCATAGAATATTGGGTTAATTACATTTAGTCCTTCTAGCCGGATACGAGTCATAGATTCACAAATGAAACTATGTATGTATGTAATTTAAAATGGCAAACAAACTGACGTCCAACCTGATGAGCAATAGTAACTGTCGTCTACACGTCACGTGTATAGGTCGTCCTGTCGTATACACGTGAACAGCACCGTGGACATGACAGAATATGCTGTGACACCCTGCCTTATGCGTCTGTACTGTGAAATTTACTTGCCATATCCCACCCTTCAAACCGGACACAGCCATGCGAGTGCAGCTGCTTCACGACAGACACGAGTGGGACAGAGACATCCGTGCAGTCGACTTTTGTACAAAGCCTCCCTCTAGTGTTATCATTTAATTTGGGGTCGTGAAGAGAGTGTTGGTGTTGTCAGGTGGACTGCTTCTCGTACGGGATGCTGCTGTACGAGATAGTGACGCTGCGGCAGCCGTTCGAGGGCCACGAGGCCGTCAAAGAAGCCATACTGGAGGGCGCCCGGCCCGCTCTCTCGCCCAGGGTATGCTAAACATTTACTGTCATCTTTAATGTACTTGGTACTGGGTCTATTCCGTGTGGTCCCGGCATAGAGTAGATCACCCTTTCCATTCCCTGGGTGTCGTAAGAGGCGACCAAGGAAACCTAATGGTCTTTTTTTTATACAACTTAGAATGGCAAACAAACTGACGGTCCACCTAATGGAAAGTGATAACCGTCGACTATAGATATGACCAGTACCATGGACATAACAGAGTATACTGTTTCGCCCATGATACCCCCCATGCGTTGCCATTCTTGAGGACTCAGGTGTTATTCCTCTGTACCCAGTAAATTTGTCGAGGGATGGGCAGCAGCGTTCCTCATAAAACGTCTCCAAAGCCTAACTGCCGTTGCCAATAAGCCTGCCAAGCGTGGCAACTACTGGCAAAACCCCCTAATAAAGGGAGGCCTATGTTCAGCAGTGGACAGTTATTATTTACAGTAACATCATCATCACCTGTGATCGACTTAGTACAATTTTATGTCTATTATTCGAGGTTTTGATATTTGGTCTTACGACCGTCCGTTTGCCTGACGTCAACCATCTTTGGGAATGTATTTATTGTTTTTCATTAGTACTATAAATTAAATATAAATGAAGTGGTGAAGTTTGTGTGCGCGTGCGCGTGCGCGTGTGTGTGTGCGGCAGGACGTGCAGTACCCGTGCTGCCTGCTGGAGGCCATGCGGCGCTGCTGGGCCGGCGCGGCGCCGCTGCGGCCGTCGGCGGCGGCGCTGGTGTCGGCGGCCGCGGCGCCCGAGTTCCCCGCGCTGCTGGACGCCGCCGCCGCCCGCGCCGCCACCTGCGCCGCCGCCGTGCCCGTGCTGCTGCCAGGTGCCTCCACACACACACACACACACACACACACACACATACGTGTTCCAAACCTGAGCCTGACGAAAATTCAAACTAACTTGCAACCCCCATTTCATCCCTTTAGGGATTGAGTTTTCAAAATTTTTTACTTATTATTAGAACCTATGTGCAATATTTCAAAATTGTACATACAGCGGTGTCAAAAGTCGTTTGCTTGGGTACCTCTGTCCCATTCGTTTTTCAACCGTGAAGCAGTTGTGTTTGCGTGGCTGTGTTTTGGTTTAAAAGGTGGGATATGGCGTGAATTTACTGGGTACAGAGGAATAACACCTGAGTCCTCAGGAATGGCAACGCGTGGGGGGTATCATGGGCGAAACAGTATACTCTGTTATGTCCATGATACTGCTCATGTGTATAGGCGACGGTTACCACTTTCCATCAGGCGGGCCGTCAGTTTGTTTGCCATTCTAAGTTGTATAAATAAAAAGATATATAGGTCAATCAGTCAGTCAGTCAGTCAACGTCTTCTTTTATACAGGGTGTAAAGGATCGGTTGGCAAAAACTGAAACAGTGATTTCAGACTATTATTCTGAACTGAAAACCAGTGGAAATTGATTTTGGAAAATTTCAAACTTTTTCTTGATTTTTTTTTTATTTAAAATCATGTAATCTATGATATTTATTTATTTATTTATTTATTACATCCACTGGGTGAGCCTTACAGTCTTCCAATACGTTCATTCAGGAGAGCATGAGTACAATAATTTAACTCAAACTAAAAACGTGCAAATACTCTGTGGTCACTCGACGAAACTCCAGCAAGTTTGAGGTAAATACATTGCGGATACTGGCTCAAAATATCATTGAGTAGTTTCAATGCAAGATATATTATGTTATAATATAAAGAAATGGTAATATTTCATAGTGAAATACTATGAAAAACTAAAAAACAGCAATGCACGTATTAAAATTCTACCGCGACGCGCGGTATCAGCTGTGCGAGGTCAACGACACGTGCGTACGAGAACTACCTACGAAGAAGCGCCACTGACCGCGCGCTGTAGGTATCACGCGTCGTGTCGAGCGTAACATTTCAAATACATTGCGCGGCGTCAACACTAACAATCGATAATTATACAGCTGCGGTACATTTCCGGCGGGGAAACAATCTGCCATTTGATTCAGGCCACTCTTCTGAATCAGCTGTTTTAATTTGTGCTAACCTGTCCTTTCCATGGGGTCAAATAACCCCATTACTGGCAGTATATAGATAGCGTGTATGACACTCTGTTTGGTGGCGGTGTCGCAGACGAGGAGGGCGGCGGCTGGGAGGTGTGGTACGCCAGCGAGGACGAGCCCGGCCGCGTGCACACGCTGCTGGCCTCGCCCCACCACTTCACGCACCACCATACCATCCGGGTGCCGCCAGGTCAGTTGCCTATACTCTCTATTGTATGTTTACGCGCCGCATGGTCCCGGCATAGACTATGCCACCCCTTCTTTTCCCGTGGATGTCGGAAGTTGCGACTAAGGGAGATCGAGGGATGGGCAGCAGTGCCCCTCTTAAAACATATCTAAAGCGTGACTGCGGTTGCCGACCCACTTGTGAAGTGAGGCAACTGGCAAAACCTTCCTTGTAAGGAAGGGTTATGTCCAGTAGTGGGCAGTAAACGGCTGATATAGTGATGATGGTAATAAATATCTACTATAGTACTTTTTGTATGTTTGTCCGCGTGTGTGTCCGCAGCGCCGGGCGTGCAGGGCGTGCAGGGCGTGCAGGGCGCGGTGGTGGTGACGGCGCTGTGCCGCGCGGGCGGCCGCGTGTGGCTCGGGGACAGCGCCGCCCGCCTCACCGTCTACTCGTCAGTAGCTGCCGTCGCACGCACGCGCGTGCATACATACACACGCGCGCGCATACATACACACGCACGCATACGCACGCGCACGCGCACGCATACACAAGCGCATGCATACACACGCGCACGCATACACACGCGCACAGATACGCACGCGCACACACACACAGCTTGAATCGTCAACCAACTGTTCATTGTTCACATTATTATACTCATTTATTTATTTATTTGTTTATGTATTAGGCAAATACATGTGTTATTTCTTAACACTACTAATGTGTTAGTAAAATAAATTTAAAATAATACTACAAGTACTATACTGTTCCCTCCTATCACTGTACGCGCACTGGCCGCTGGTAATCAACGCTCCTTACCACTCAGGGTGCGCTGCAAGAGAACTGTTACAGAGTGATGCTCGCCTGCTGTACAGCTTTATTTAATATATATATATTATATTAATGTAATTTTTGTGTACAATAAAGTATAAATAAATAAAAGAAATTTCCCAAATATTCACAGAATCTCTGAGACACTTTTTCCTTCTATAAAAATTACTAGCTTTTACCCGTGACTTTGTCTATGTGAACAGGACTGAATATTTACTGACCGAGATAAAAGAAAGCCCATGACCTTCTCCCTCCCGTATAGTACGTGTATACCAAATTACATAGTGATCGGTCAAGCCGGTAAGGAGCTATAAGGGAACAAACAAACACACTTGCACATTTATTTATTTATTTATCTCTATTACTCCAAAAACATAAAAATATACAATGACAAGTGAATAATTCAAGTGAAATACAGTAACATAAATACAGACTGAAATATACACATAAAGGTACAAAAGGCGGTGTTATCGCCAGGGCGATCTCTTACAGACAACCTTTGGACATTTACAATATTAGTAAGGATTTTTTATGGGGTGTAATGGAATGGTAACCCCGTCTGCGCTAATGGTGTACGCTGGCGGGGTACCAGTGAGGGATGATAGGTGAGGATGAAGTAGGCCAGTTAGCCCATCGTCATGAATATACTTGGAATTGAACAGGATGGCTTCTAGAGATCGATCAGACTGGGAACATTGCTAGCAATGGGGCTACTAGTCCCCGTTACCAGCAGCCCCCCCCCTTATGTAAGTGTTGTGTGGCAGCGCGTCGACGTGCGCGGCGGTGTGGAGCGCGGCGCTGCCGGAGGCGGTGGGCGGGGCGCCGTCGGCCGTCGCGGCGCTGCTGCCCCTGCAGCGGCTGCAGCGCCTCGCCGTCGCGCTGGCCTGCGGCAGGTGACCCCCGCACACCTACACACCTACACACCTACACACCTACACACGCACACACACACCCTGCATTACTAACAGATTCATGTTTCAAACAAACTTTACAACAACAACCAGACTTCTCATTGCCCGCCAGATAGTGAAGGCGGGCGAGGCAGGGGCCTCGGGGCGTACCCCATTACCCCGGCTTCAACTCCGGAGGCAACCTCCGGGTCACTGGATTTGCAGCCAGATTTGATTCATGTTTCAAACAAACCAACAAACTAACGTTGAATTAGTTGATCACTAAACAATATTGGACAAGAAATGCTAGATGGCGCTAGAATCGATATTAATAGTTTTTGTTAATTTATTTTTTGTTGTCCTTGTACCAGCTGTTAACTGTCCACTGATGAACGTAGTCTCCCCCATAGGGGGGGTTTTGGAATTAGTTTACATACCTGAGTCTTCAAGAATGGCAACGCATGGTGGGGTATCATGGGTTAAACAGTACACTGTTATGTCTATGCAACTGCTCATGTCTATAGGTGACGGTTACCACTTTCCATCAGGTGGGCCGTCAGCTTGTTTGCCATTCTAAATTGTATAAAAAAAAAATAGTTTTTGGTGGCGTTTTAAGAGGGACAGTGCTGCCCATCCCTCGCTCTCCATTAGTCACCTCTTACGACACCCACGGGCAAGAAAAGGGTGGCCTATTCTATGCCGGGACCACACGGCGAAAAGAATAGAGCTAGCAATATAGACTCCTCTTCCACTAGTACTGACTCTCGTGACTCCACGGCGTCACGAGCCGGTATCCGGACTTGGATATATTGACATGTAAATTTGTCGAGTTTCGCAGAATGGCAATAAATTATTTAGAAAGTATCCAATAAATAAGGTTATTACATTTGTTAATGTCAGTAGAGTAGTTAGTGGTTGATATGAGGATGATGGTGAGGGCGTGTGGTGAGTGTACGCGGCGCCCCCTGCCGGCAGGCTGTTCCTGGTGTCGTGGGAGCGGCCGGCGGCGGAGGGCAGCTTCGTGCTGACGGAGCTGGGCGCCGCCACCGAGCTGCGCTGCCTGGCCGCCGTGCCCACGCCGCACGGGTGACTGCTCGCACACACACACACACCCACACACACATACATACCCACACACCCACACACACACCCGCACACCCACACACACCCACACACCCACACATCCGCACACACACCCACACACACATCCACACACCCACACACACACACACACACACCCACACACCCACACACCCACACACCCACACACACACACACACCCACAGACCCACGCCCATCCACACACACACACCGCCCACACACACACACACACACACACACACACCCACACACACACACACACACTCACACACCCACACACCCACACACATACACACACAAACAACAATACAACATACCTACCACTTATTTCTTTTTATATATTTTTTTAAATTGTTGCACACTCGATAGGGTATACCTGTTGATACTGATGTCAAGTCCAAAGCAATGTTTACCGCTATATGTATGTACACAGTTAGCAATACAATTCTAGTGTATTCTATAACACAGGCGGTACACAAGCATGCGGTACACATGATGGTAAGTGAATACTGCCACCCATAGGCACCCGCAACACCAGAGACATTCCAGGTTTACTGCCGACCTTTTACTGTGCGCGTGCCTGCGTAAACTCGTGCGTACGTGCGTGAGTGCGTGCGTACGTGCGTGCGTGCATGCATGCGAGTAAATTTACTAATATTAGCTTTACAAACACTGTTACTGATAAATATTAATGGACCAAAGAGACTAAAATAAAAATTATGACAGCATAGCGCTCGGGAATGGCAACCCACGAGCGTTGTTCCGTGAACTTTGTTATGTCCACGGTACTGCTCATGTGTATAGGCGACGGTAACCACTTACCATCAGGTGGGCCGTCAGCTTGTTTGCCATTCTAAGTTGCATAAAAAATATACATTTTAGCAGAAATTTCCTGAAATAAATAATTAAAAATATTCTAATTAAATGACCTTTGAAATTTATAAGGTATTCTTAATAATGGTGTCTAACGGTCCCATTGGTAGCAATATATTTTTACCCTATCAGGTTGACCTCCATACAGTCCTGGAAATCATCGTGTTTAATTCTTGTACAATTCGTCACGGTGTACCAACTGACCTGCTTTCATCCTCACCTGTCATGTTTCCCTGGTACCTCGCCAGCGTATGATAGCGTAGGCGGGGTCACCATTCCATTTTCATTATTTATTAAAAAAAAAAATTATAAACATTTAAACGCGTCGTGTTAGTGTGGAGGGTTTGTTCCCATGTTGCTTTGGTGGGTTGTTGGGGTTTGGCTAGTAGAAGGCTGCGTTCTAATTTGCACACTCTTTGGTGACGCATGGCTTCTTTACAATGGATGATAATGGTATGGTAACACCGCCCGCGCTATCAGTATACACCGGCGGGGCACCAGGGAGACACGATAGGCGAGGATGAAAGCAGGTCAGTTAGCCCATCGTGACAAATACACCAGGAATTCAGCACGATAATTTCTAGGGGGGAGCACGTGGAGAGTCCAGCTGACAGGGTATTTTTTTTATACCACTGAGGTGGCAAACAAGCATACGGCCCACCTGATGGTAAGTGGTTACCGTAGCCTATGAACGCCTGCAATACCCGAGGTATTACCCCCCTTTAGAAGGAAGGGGTTTAGGGTATATTGCTAGCGATGGAAGTGGTAGTCCGCGTTGCTAACGCTGTGTCCGCTGGCGGCGGTGGCGGCGGTGGCGGCAGCGTGGAGGTGTGGGCGGGCGGGGACGGGCTGCACGCGTACGCGCTGGGCGCGGGCGGCGTGCGCGGCGCCGAGCGGCTGCACGCCGCGCGCGTCGCCATCCTCGCCGCGCCGCACGACGAGCCCTACGTCCTCGCCTACTGCACGCCCGGTACGCCGCGCTGCACACTGCACACTGCGCACTGCACACTGCACACTGCTCCGCTCTACACCGCCGTGTAGCGTTGCAGTATTGTTTGTTGTATTAAGAGGGAGAACGTAAGACTGAAACTGCTTCTCGGCGACTACTTGTTTATATTAGTGCGAGCGTCGCGTCCGAGCATCCTCCGCTCGATTAGCAATGTATTATATTGTTCGCCTTGCCACCGTCCACTGGACTAGTGGTCGCGATCGACCGATTGGCCAGCCCTGGTATATTGGATAATTGATTGGATAACCGGATACAGACTGATACTGACTTTTGTCCCATTCGTGTTTCAACCGTGAAGCAGTTGTGTTTGCGTGGCTGTGTTTCGGATTAAAGGGTGGGATATGGCAGTGAATTTACTGGGTACAGAGGAATAACACCTGATTTCTCAGGAATGGCAACGCATGGGGGGTATCGTGGGCGAAACAGTATACTATGTTATGTGCACGGTACTGCTCATGTCTATAAGCGACGGTTACCACTTTCCATCATTTACTCATGCAGCAACTCATGCATGCAGCAGCATCCCTCTTAAAACACCACTAAGTCCTAACTGCGGTTGTCAACCAAACTTGCCAAGCGTGGTGATTACTGACGAAACCCCTCTGATTGGGGAGGCCTATGCCCAGCAGTGGACAGTTGACAGTCGATGTGATGATGCCTACATGTACTTCTGGATTGCTTTCAGCACTAAGTATAGTGGAAGCGTATGTCCAGCAATGGGACAGTTAATAATAATAAAGAGATAAGAGCCAACAATGAGCGACCTGGTCGCTAAGTAACGATTTCTTGCAGCCAAGCTAATTGTACGTTCTTTCTCTTGCTAATCCCGCGTCGTACCGTGCCTGGGCGGCAGGCGTGTGCGTGTGGCAGTGGTGCGTGCGTGGACGCGTGCGTGGCGCGCGGCTGGACTGCAGCAAGCTGGCGCCGTGCTCCGAGAGCCTGCAGTCCATCGCCATCGACGACCACCTCGCGCTCGAGCGCTGCACGGTGCGCCGCCTGCCGCTACATGCTGACGCACATACCATATGCACTCGCAGAGGCAGGGACTGACGAGCGGGGCGTGGCCAGCAGCGACCCTCTTCAAACATCGCCAAAGCCTAAGATTGCTAAACCGCCTGCCGGCTGCCAAAGGTGGCAACTACTGGCAATATCCCCCCTTATGGGGGAGGCTTATGTTCAGCAGTGGGCAGTTAACGGCTGATATGGTGATGATGATGATGAGATTGTTGTTATATTAACGTTTAAAGACTTGCTTTTTTATGATTGACTCGCTGTCTTACAGATCAAAAACCTAATTAACTGAGTAATAAATGTACATTACGGTAACCCTGTTCACGAAGGGGGAAAAGATTGTTTTTTTTTTTATGGGTAAAAATGGTATGGTAACCCCGCCTGCGCTAACGGGATACGCTGGCGGAGCACCAGTGAAGGGTGATAGATGAGAATGAAAACAGGCTAGTTAGCCCATCATGATGAATTCATCTGGAATTGATCATGATAGTTTCCAGGGAGAACCGCGAGGCGGTCGACTTGGTTGGGTATATTGCTAGCAATGGGATTCTCTGTCTCCATTACTAACAATCCCTTTCCCCCCGGAAAATATTGTTAGGAATGCGGACTACCCGTCCCATTGCTAGCAATATACCCTGTCAGGTCCACTTTCACGTGGTCCCCCCTGGAAACCATCGTGTTGAATTCTTGGTGTATTCATCACGATGGGCTAACTGACCTGCCCGTTCATCCTCACCTATCATGTATTCCTGGTGCTTCGTTAGCATACCTACCATTCCATTGTCAACCATTAAAAAAATCCCTATTGACGTACATATGAATGGAAAAGTGAAATTGCAATGCGGTCAGGTGACGGCGATGTGCGTGTCCCGCGGCCTGGTGTACGTGGGCACGGCGTGGGGCTGCCTCATCGTGGCCGACGTGGCCGCGCTGCGTCCGCTCACCGTCTTCCGGCCCTACGAGGGCGAGGTACGTACCGCGGCCGCCCGTCTACTCGCGTCTAGTCGCCGCGACTAATCGCTGCGACTAGTCGCTACGATTAGTCGCTGCGAATGGTCGTGGTGTATATTATGCGTATTAACAGGCAATACAGGGCCAAGCCCTATTATAAGAAGGAAACGAATATGCTTGCTACTGATCGCTACGATTAGTCGCTGTCTTCTCTAATGACATAGATTTGTTTTTTTTTTTCTATCAAGCGAAGAACGTATATAGTAGTACAATACAGAACACTAGCCAATTAGAAAGGTTTATTTTTTGAATTGGGCCCGCCAGAAACTGAATTCGAGCCCCCGTTTAGTCAAAGTAACAAGTTTACCACTGCCCCACAAAGATTGTTAAAATTGAACTAAAATTTCACAAAAGTCCGCGCGTTGTGTACGCAGGTGCGCGCGATAGTGCCGCTGCGGTGGCGCGGCGGCGGCGGCGGCGGCGGCGGCGGCGGCGGCGGCGGCGGCGGCGGCGCGGCGCCGGAGGGCGACATGCTGGCGACGTTCGGGCGCGGCTACCGGCCGCTGCTGCAGCGGTACGCGCCCACGCCCACGCCCACGCCCACGCCCACGCCGGTACGCGCTGCTCTCGCATACTTATCCATTTTTTATATTTATTTATTTATTCTTCACTCGCGTGAACGTAAAAAAACACGGTAATGACTCCAGATCAGTTACTAATTTAAAAAAATATATTTTCCAGTCAAATTCCACAAGCAACGCGGGCAACACGTACAGTGGCTTCTACTGCCTGTTGTGGCGGGCGCACCACTGGCTGCCCGACTAAGGCACGCGTCGCACGCCGCCAGGACTAGCGGCTCCACAGCCGCAGCGGACAGGGCGACCAGCTGGTCAGCCTTGCACGCGTCTCGACAATTTGCATGACAGTTCGGGACACATTGTTGGACGGTTGGTAAAAGAAAGATTGGTCGTGGTCGTGCTGTTGACATTAATGCCATGAAGCAGTTTTGCTCTCATGGCCATGTTTGTGGTGGGGTATGGCAATGAAGTGGGATATGGTACAGAGACGTAACACCATAGTCCTAAGGAGTTGCAACACATGAGAGAGACCGTGATTATCAGAGTGATGTTCTGTGATCCGTTATTCATGTGTATAGGCGACGGTTACCACTTACCATCAGGTGGGCCATCAGCTTGTTTGCCATTCTAAGTTGAATAAAAAAAATATATTACTCATGCTTAATTATCATAGACTAAAGATATATTTTTAATTTTGACTTAACTCTATAAGAAAGTTAATTCATATTGGTTTACATAATAAATATTTCGCTGCAATATCAATCAACAAGGGCATCTAATGCCCGTCAGATGATGTGTGGGCGGGCAAGGTAGGGGCCTCGGGGTATACCCCACTACCCCGGCTTCGACTCCGGAGGCGACGACCTCCGGGTCGCTGGGTTCTTCAGCCGGCATACACTGGTGGTCTGTGTATGCCGGTCGCTGTATATCATACTGAAATTTTAATAGAAATAGGTTAAGATAGATGGCGCCACAGAATCGGCCTCAATGTTTCGGGTCTTGTACATATAGTGGAGATAGGAATCTCTTAGTTCGTGACGTTATAAAAATAATATAAATTGTGAGAAAAATTCAATTAAATTTAAAAATTCCTTCCCGTGTGTGTAAGTGTGGTGGAATGAATGAGCGAGTGAACGGGTGTTTACGTGATGTTGGTACACTGCCACAAATGTCAGGTTGCCACAAGCCACAAGCTAGTGAGCGCGGGTTCTGCGGGTTTATAAACTGTCCACGATAACATGGCGCGCCTCTCCACAATCTAAATTAAAAATGTGCAAGGTTTCTACCAGGGGATACACCCCCCCCCCCCCCAGATGAACACGAACAGAGCGCCGCTTCTATATACGGGCGCACGCGGTGGTGGGAACAGGTGGAGGAAGGGGGGGGGGGGTGCGTGCCGTGTTATCGTGGACAATGTATACTCAATTTGTGAAAATTAAGTTTGTAAATTATATATATATATATAAGAAATTACATATTTGAAGATGGCCCATTAGTTCCGATACCACGGTGTCGTTGTGGCGCTGTACGTCGAAATGATTATATCGAAATGATGATTCATAGATAGTAGACTTTTTAATTGTAAGACTTTTGCGTTGTATCGTTTATGGTTTATCAGTGATGAGGGGGGGGGGTTAATTATTATTTAAATATACTATTTATTTATTATTTATTAATATAATTAATTGACATCTCTTATAAACCAATACATTTTTTGTATATCGTAAAAACAAAGGAACAATAGCGAACAACAATACCGACACGATTCCCTAATTTGTCGATCGCATCACTAGCGCCACCTATTGGAATATAAAGACGAGCGTTTATCTTTAAAAAAAAAATATATATATATAATTGTTAACGTACTACATTGTTGTAGTTAAATGAAATAAAATGCCTTTTTTTGCATTAAATGCTAATTAAATGAATTAAATTAGCGGTAGATTTATAAATTAATGCAAAATCTTCAATATTGCGTTGTACAAGGTGTAAGGGATACTATTATTGTTTTAGCTTAAATATTTTCTTTTTTTTTTTATACAATCATAAGTATCAGAAAAAGTTTTTTTTTTTAAATTGTCAGCTAACCTCTTTAAATATTGTATTAGTTTTTTTTTGATGGGTGAAAATGGTATGGTAACCCCGCCTGCGCTAACGGGATACGCTGGCGGAGCACCAGTGAAGGGTGATAGATGAGAATGAAAACAGGCCAGTTAGCCCATCATGATGAATTCATCAGGAATTAACCATGATAGTTGCCAGGGGAACCGCAAGGAGGTCGACCTGGTTGGGTATATAGCTAGCAATGGGATTCTCAGTCTCCATTATTGACAATCCCTTTCCCCCCACTGTATTAGTTACGCGTACAGTTCAGAAGGAAGAAAACTAGATTTTAAATTGCCTTCAGGAATACAACTGTGAGAACTGCATTCAATTTGGTACAATAGTTTTTGCGTGATGTCGAAACAAACATACAGACAGACAGACAATCCATCATCTTACCCATTATCTGTCCACTGCTAAACATAAGCATCCGTCTTGGGAGGTTTTGCCAGTAGTTGCCACGCTTGGCAGGCGGATTGGCAACCGCAGTTAGGTTTTGGTCATGTTTTAAGAGAGACGCTGCTGCCCATCCGTCGCCCTCCCTTAGTCTCCTCACACGACACCCACGGTAAAGGAAGGGGTGGCCTATTCTATGCCGGGACCACCCGAGATGTACAGACATCGTCCAGTTTTTTTTTTTTTTTTGGAGAATGAAAATGGAATGGTAACTCCGCCTGCGCTAACGGTATAATCTGGTGGGGCGTCAGTAAGGGATAGCGAGCCCATCGTGATGAAGACACCAGGAATTCAGCACGATGGTTTCCAGGACCACGTGCTGGTAGATTTGGCAGGGTATATTGCTAGCAATGAGGCTGGTCGTCCACACTACAAACAATGCCTTCTCCCTCTACCGTTTATGGTGTGAGCGAGATAGAAAACGCGACATATTGGATTTTGTGTTCCGAGCATTATTTCATTTGATTATAAACTTTATTGCTATTAAAATAAATATGAATTTTGTACTCGAATTATCGCAATGTGTATGTATAATGTAAAAGCCAAATGTTGTGAAACTGTGTCCATTTTGTTTAATAAGCTTTCTCTATTTATTGTATTTATTATTAAGTTATCTAAAACCAAAGACTTTGAATAAAATATTACAAACTTTAAATATGTTTTTTTTTTTCTCTTTTTACATCCCTTTGTCTCCTATATCTTATTCCGTACCTAGGCGAGCCGTATGCTTGTTGTAACAGTACGTACAAACAAAATGGCGCGATTATTACGATGCCGTTTAATAAATTGTGGTAAAAAAGGCGGACTTAATACTATAGGGATTCTCTACCAGTCAACCTGTCAGTGAAACCTGGCTGTGTTTCGGTTCGAAGGTTTACTGGGTACAGAGGAATAACATCGGAGTCTTTAGGAATGGCAACGCATGGGAGGTATCATGGGCGAAACAGTATACTCTGGTATGTCCATGATACTGCTCATGTCTATAGGCGACGGTTACCACTTTCCATCAGGTGGGCCGTCAGCTTGTTTGCTATTCTAAGTTGTATATAAAAAAAATATTGCTGCAGCAACTATGCTCGCTATGTATTTCGAATTGAAGAGTGGGATATGGCAGTGAATTAACACGGTACAGAGGAATAACACCTGAGTCCTCAGGAATGGCAACGTGACGGGGTTGCATGCAAGGCCGGCAGCACACCTGCAATGCCGTTGGCATGTGGGCGGCGGTAGTCACTTACCATTAGGTGAGCCGCGTGCTCGTTTGCCCCCTGTGTTATTATATATAAAAGAAAAGGCGACTCATCGTACGGCTCGCCATCGACAGGGAGTTCACCCTCATGTCCTACAGCCTCAATGGTCGCGTACTGCGCGGTTACAGAGATGTTTCCTCCCACGAACACTCAGGTTGTGGAATGAGCTCCCTGCCGAGGTTTTCCCAAGAGACTACAGCATGGGGTTCTTCAAAAGGGAGGTAAACAGGTTTCTTCAGGGTCGACAACGCGCGCGTAATACCTCTGGTCTTGCAGGTGTTCATAGGCTACGGTAACTGTTTACCATCAGGTGGGCCGTATGCTTGTTTGCCACTTCAATGGTATAAAAAAAAGGTCGAAAAGGTCGAAATTTGGACGTTGTGAGAATAAAAAATAAAACAAACTTCTTGTTTTAAATTATGCCCGTATTGTTCCTGTGTATTTTTTTTTTTTTATTGTTAGGGAGGCAAACGAGAGAACCATCCGCTTTTGATGTTAGTTTAAACCATATATTGTGTCATGGTTTATTTATACATTTTGTTAATAGATTTCAAATTTTAATGCAACTAGTGTTACATCCAAGTTGCTGAGGGCCTACCATGAAATGTTTTCCGAAATTTCGGATCCGAACGAAACAAAAATTTGATGCTAAAATTACATGATACTTACCATTTAAAAATATTAAAAATGCTAATATATCGTTCCTTTGAACTTTTATGGTAGGATTTATGATGAACGAAATGTTAAGTTCCATTTACAGGGTCGACCTGAGTAGACCTGCAGGCACACTCAATTTCGTGTTTTTGTTTACACCAAAATCGGATCAATAAATGGAGTGTAACATTTCATTTATCATAAATCCTATCCTAATAGTCCAGAAGAACGATATTTTAACATTTTTAATAATTTTAAACGGCATGTATTATGTAATTTTAACATCAAATTTCTGTTTCGTTCGTCCCCGAAATTTCGGAAAATATTTCATGGTAGGCCCTCAGGTCTCTAAGCGACGGTTACCATTTTTCATAAGGTGGGCCGTCAACTTGTTTGTTTTTCCAATTAAGAAGAAATTATAGCTTTCAAACGGCAGTTTCAATACACAAACATGTGTATTCACTATATGAAACCATGTAACTTGGGAAACGACTAGCTTTTGGTACTAATAGTGCAATATAAAATACGCAATCCAAACGACCTTTCATTGTAATTAAGCAGACCACAATAAAACAATGTTTTCACTTAAAATCAATACGTTACGTATTTATTTAGTAATTCTAACTAAACTGTTAAATAAAAACAGCGATGTATATCGAAAACTGTTTTTGGAGTATAGCTTTCGAAAACATTCAGAAACCGGCGGCCGACGGGCGGACCGGTTTCGCGTATTGGGCTTGGCGGGAAAATATTTACGGAATGCGAGCCGTGATTGGTCATCGGTCGGTCCAAATTGTCCCCAAGATTTTAACAATGCATAACTCAGCCACTCAGGTACAAATTGCTGTTATCGATTTTGGGTAATATATCGAATATTTGAATTGAATCAAATTGGGGCCTTCATTACGTAACTCACAATTAGTAATCGTTTGCGAGGTTGTAGCGCAGTGTTTACTGAATCAAGAAATTAGTCCTCGGGATGTCTTAGATGGGTCGATAAAAATATTGACTTTCATAAATCGATTTCACGAAAATTATTGACGATTTTCCATTACTTAATAAAAATAATTATACATAGGCAATAAGGGATGACAGGTTTATAAAAAAAAAACATAAGTTCACATAGAATATCGCATAATATATAGAATGGAATAGACCCGGTCAGTGTTGTCTCGAATTTTTGGTTAATCTACCGCAAATAGACCGATGTAAATTGAGAAATATGATTTTCAATTAAAAGTTTTAATCTCAGAAAAAACATATATACATACGAGTTTTTATTCACGTGACATGATATTCATAAACGAATGTCGTGACACTGTAACATCGTACACTAATCTTCGAAATCATTCAACTAATTTTAATGAAATTTGTAAATATGTTTGCTCTAATTTGGAGAGACAGGATAGTGCGTAACGCGTTTTTTTTTAATAGGTGAAAATAAAATGTTTTTTTTTTTAATAGATGATAATGGAATGGTAACCTGCGCTATCGGTATACACCGGCGGGGCACCAGTGAAGAATAATAGGTGAGGATAAAGTAGGTCTGTTAGCCTATTGTGACGAATTCAACAAGAATTGTTCACGATAGTTTCCAGGGGGAACCACGTGGAGGTCGACCTAATAAGGCATATTACTAGCAATGGGGCTGTCAAACTCCATTGCTAACAATCTCTTTCCCCCCAAATAAAATGGTTACCCCCCCTGCGCTATTACCGGTATACGCTGGGGGGAGGGGCACCAATGAGAGATTGTACATGAGGATGAATGAATGCAGGTCAGTTAGGCCATCATGACGAATTCCACAAAAATTAACCACGATAGATTCCAAGAGGAAGATGACGAGAAGAGACATGGATTTTGACCGAAAAGAGTAAATTGCCAGTAATGCAACTTCATTTACTAACAATTGCTTTTTTCCGCTTTTATCCCTTAAAAAAATTACTAGTTTTATTTGTCTACCACCTCCACCAATGTCTCTGTTTCGAATTCGGGACAGAGACATTGTTGAAATTCAAATATTCGGTTTGAAGGGTGGGGTATGACAGTGAATTTACACGATACAGAGGAATAACACCTGAGTTCTCAGGAATGGCAACGCATAGGGGGGGGGGGGGGGGGTATCATGGGCGAAACAGTATACTCTGTTATGTCCATGCTCAAGTCTATAGGCGACGGTTACCACTTTCCATCAGGTGAACTGTCAGCTTCTTTGCCATAGTAAGTTGCATAATTAACTAATTCAATGTAACAATTAATATGTATTTAGAATAATTATTTGGACATTGGTAATTGATAAATTTTTACTTAACATGTGTTAAGACAAAATTTGCATGCCTTTAGATAAGGCGAAATGTGTAGCTCAGTTACCATTTAAGACCTTTGTACCACATTTCGAGCAAATAAATTATTCTTATTCTTATTCTAAAAACTCCCTCTTTCACACGTAAATGAACAATTTTGTAAAAAAAAAGGAACTTACACAATTCGTAGGGATAATGTATAAAAAAAACCATAATTTATATTATTACATAAAAAGAAAAGATTTTATTGTTTGTTGGTAATGGATAAACTAAAAACTATTCAATCGATTATAAAAACTCATTCACCTGTAGACAGTTATATTATTAGCGAGTAACATAGCACATCTTGTTTATGAAAATTCTATATATCCATGCGAACTCGGAAAAATACTTCTATTGTTGTCCAAGTATCGATTTCAACCGGTTAAATCGAATGGAAATCGGAAACCCTACAAAATACGTACTTATCATATTAGTAGAATTAAACATATTTATAATATGAATAAATTTAATATTTTATAAAAAAACTAACTTCATAAAGTAGATCCTAATATTATTCGCATTTGTGATACATACTTAGTTCATGATAAGATTCGGAACACTGGCTAGGACGCGTTCTCACGTTACGTTCAAGTGACGTTAAGTAAGTGAACGTCACATCAAACAAACTGTCAAACTTTAATTCTTAACTTGAAATGCCGACTTATTATTTTCTTTAATTTTTACAAACATTATGCAATTGATAAACATCACTAAAGTGCCTTAAAAATAACTATAATATTGTTTTTCACGAGTTACCAGGGTTGTGTGTGTTGTTATTAGTGCTTGAAAAGTTATATTGTTCGTTAAGTGATCGGACCCAATTTCTGGATTTATTTGTTCCGGATTTTATTTCCGAGAAAGAAAGTGATTGCCCGGCATAAGGTGAGTTAAGTTTATCAGTTTGGCCATGTTGAACTTTATACCGTGACCTATATTATTGTAATTTAAAAAAAAAAGTAACAGTAATTAAAAAAATAATTTTATAAAAAAAAATCGCATAGACTACACGAAGTTCGTGAAAGCAGAGCACACGTTTTGCTTTGGTCATGTTTTATTTTTGTTTGAACAATTGCGAATACAGCGAGTTAGTTATGGTTTATAGTTAATCGATTTGTATACGTATTAGATTATTAAATTTATAGTTTTTTGTACATTAATGATCTGTTTAGTTGGTAAACTTATTATAATAATTTTAGATGCCTCAAGTAATCCATATCTTTAGTGCTTATTTGTTTTATTGTTAAAACATTTATATTTTTGTTACCAATAAAATAAAAAAAAAAACACTTATATAATATTTTAATTAAAAAAATAATTAAGTTAGTGTGTTGACTGAAAGAAATCTCTTTTAGAGAGAAGTGTGCCTTTGCTTACTTTTTTATAATTTGTTATTATTATTTGAGTAT